TGCACTGGATTCGACTCCAGAGATTCGACCCATGATAGGGTATGTCTAGAATGTTCAGTAGGGTTCTATGCATTATTATAGGTCGTACGGCAGCTAGACGTATGGATAGTTCTCACTTGTAGATTGACAAACCACTGATGAGGCCCCCGGCGGGGGGCCGAAACGCGTCTGGTGCGCGGTAATATACAAGTCATTTACTTTACTTAACTCCTACTTCTTACAGGTTATGAGCCCAAGTGCTCGCTGCAGACACCTCACCAAGGACCAACTTGTGCGAGGGACACCCCGTCAGAGAAGGCGCTCGATGCACGAGTAAGGCGCCGAAGAATTCATCGACAGGGATCGTTGACGGTGCGCGTGCAGTCGAAAAGGGTTTGTGCAAGGGTGGTGACGCGAGATGGTCTGAATGCGCGAGTGCTATCGAAGGAAGAGTCAAGTCAAGTGGTGACAAGTGTATTTGTGGTCAAGAAGTGGAAACTACATCCAAGGCGAACGACGACTACGAGATGTCAAGTGTGACATGGTGCTGGACGATGGGGGAGCTGGAATACCTGGAACGCTCGGTATCATCGAGGTTGGCTGGAGCGCAGGGGCAAGACTCAATCAAGATTCCCATGGTGCACGGATGCAGCAGTGAGGATTACAGGCGGGTCGATACCAAAGTGGTCTGCATCTCATGTCGTCGAGGGGGAGTGTTGTAAGTGCATGATGCACTGGATTCGACTCCAGAGATTCGACCCATGATAGGGTATGTCTAGAATGTTCTTTAGGGTTCTATGCATTATTATAGGTCGTACGGCAGCTAGACGTATGGATAGTTCTCACTTGTAGATTGACAAACCACTGATGAGGCCCCCGGCGGGGGGCCGAAACGCGTCTGGTGCGCGGTAATATACAAGTCATTTACTTTACTTAACTCCTACTTCTTACAGATTAGACGCGTAGGATGATGAGACGCTTCACATGATTTATATGTACACCACATATAAATCATGTAGTAAGTAGTAAGTCCCGATAATCAATCACTTTCGAATCTTCCAACTATTGGGCAAGTGTTTTCTGCTCTACTCTCTTCGGTCTCTCCGCTCCGCTTTCCTCGCTCCGATCTACAATGCAACACATACTTGACCACAGGCGAAAACGTCTCCGTGTAGTCGATGCCATACTTTAGGCGGAAACCCTTGGCCACAAGTCGTGCCTTGTACTTCTCGATTGACCCATCCGCCTTGCGCTTGATCTTGAACACCCATTTTGTGCCAATGGCGCGTTGTCCGTTGGGTAACTTGGCCGCACGAAAGACACCGCGAAGCTTCATCGAATCGAGCTCCGCATCAATTGCCTTGCGCCAGTGTACTTGGTCCGGGCCAGACACTGCTTCTTCAAATGTCGACGGCTCCGAAAAATCGACCGCTGCTTCGACGGCGTTTGCACTCGCATGCCAAAACGCGGAGGAAGTCGGTGTGTCATGTTGTTCCTCCGACTTCCTTTCTTCATCTTCGTTGGCTCGACGTGAAGAGAGGTCATCCGGTGCACTTGACTCTTCCAATCCGGGTCGTTGGCGCACTGCTCGGGGCATGCTTGCGTCGTCATTGTCGTGACTGGGTTGGGCCTTGCGCTTTCCTGTTTGTTTGAAGTGTCTCGGACGCGGTTCTTCCTCATCAAGATCGATCGATTCGAAGTCCAGGCCATCAACATCGTCATCGGAAATCAGCATCGACATTCCAAAGGCCGACTCATCGAATTTGACATCGCGACTTATCATCACCTGCCCCGCTTCGATGTCGTAAACTCGATACGCCTTGGACACTTCTTCGTAGCCCAAAAACAATCCAGCCCGGGCCTTGGGATCCCACTTGAGTCGTTTCTCCTTCGGGGTCAAGATGTATGCTTGGCACCCAAAAACGCGCATGTGCTTGACACTTGGCTTAGAATTGTAGACAATCTCGAACGGTGTCTTGTGTGGAATCTTGGGTGACGGCAAACGGTTCTTCACATAGACGGCCGTCATTGCCGCTTCAGCCCAGAAGCACTTGTCCAACTTGGCATGATGGAGCATGCTACGACCGATGGTGACGATAGTTCGAATCGCGCGTTCAGCAGTTCCATTGGCTTGATGTGCGTATGGCACCGTGGTTTGTTGCTCGATGCCTTCGACTTCGTAGAAATCTTGGAGCGAGTTCGTCGCAAACTCGCGGGCTCCATCGTGTCGCACAAATTTGACTTTCTTGTTGAACTGCGTCTGTATCATCGTGATGTACTTCTTGATGCACTCTTCGCTCTCTGACTTGGAATGCAGACAAAAACCCTTCATGCATCCGCTGGCTTCATCCACGATCAGCAGCAGATACTTGCTGCCACCCAGAGATTTTTCTTCCATGGGTCCGCAGATGTCGAAGTGGAGCATCTCGAAGGTGTTGTAGGTGCGCTTGTCACGGTTGCTCGGGAATGGTTTTTGGACCATCTTCCCTTCTTGGCATCCTCGACACACACTTGATCCATTCGGCTTGGAAGGGATGTGAGCGTCCTTGATCATGTGGCTTGTCACCATCCTGCGAAGCACGTCGACTGGAGCATGGCCCATTCGCGCATGTAGATCAACAGCGTTGCTGAGTGATGTCGCATTGGCCGATCGCTGCGTCGTGCGAAGCCAGTAGAGTCCGTCTACAAGATCCGCAGCTGCCACCACTTGATTGGAATCCTTGCGAGCGACGTACATCGTATCCCCGTCAAACACCACTTGGAAGTTGCCGTGCTTGTTAATCTGCGGCACCGAGAGCAGATTTTTGCTCATGCTGGGCACATAGAGCGCGTTCTTGATCTCGATCTCGCGCTCTTCCCCGTTTGGCAGAATCACCTTTTCCACGATGGTCCCCACACCTTTGATGGCCGCCTTGTTGCCATCAGCCACCAGGATCTCGCCATCATGGCCTTCGACCAAGCTTGCAAACTTGAACTTGTCGTGACAGATGTGATGTGTTGCCCCGCTGTCAACGGCCCACATTCCTGGTCCATTCTTGTTCGTCGAAACTCCGCATTGTTGCATTGTAGATCGGAGCGAGGAAAGCGGAGCAAACGGAGCGGAGAGACCGAAGAGAGTAGAGCAGAAAACACTAGCCCAATAGTTGGAAGATTCGAAAGTGATTGATTATCGGGGCTTACTACTTACTACATGATTTATATGTGGTGTACATATAAATCATGTGAAGCGTCTCATCATCCTACGCGTCTAATCAACTATGGTAATTACCGTAAGAACTACGTCGTAAATACTAAGCTGAACAGGCGGTTCGGATTGGATCGGTCACGGTTACCAATACTGGTAGAAAACCGATGACCGTCAACACGCCCCCTCAATCCGAATGCTCACGAATCCCGAGAGTCGCCGTCATCTCCTTGTGGCGTGGCCCGTGAAGTCCCTTCGTCATGATGTCCGCTAACATCACCGCAGTTTCACAGTACTTGAGCTTCACTTCACCGCGCTTGACCTCATCACGGATGTGATGGTACTTGATATCAATGTGCTTGGCACGGCCGTGGTTGACTGGGTTCTTCGTCATCTTGATACACGACTGATTGTCTTCATGGATCATGAGTTCCGGTCCTTCTTCATTGGCAGCCATCACGATCTCACAAAGCAGACGATGAATCCACTTGCCCTCTTGAATCGCCAAGCTGAGTGCGATGTATTCGGCTTCACTCGTGGACAACGAAACACTTGGCTGCTTCTTGCTGCCCCAACTGACTGGCGCACCGAGTAGCATGAACGTGTACCCCGATGTTGACTTGCGGTCGGTAAGATCACCAGCCCAATCCGCATCCGAATATCCACGGAAGTCGATCCTTGCACTTGGCTTGTAGCAAATTCCATGCGTCTTGGTGCCTTGTAGGTAGCGAAAGATACGCTTAACTGCAACCCAGTGTTCTTCTTGGGGATTTTCCATGAACCGCGACACATAGCCCACAGCAAACGCAATGTCCGGACGCGTTGCAGTGGTCAGGTGCATCAACGCACCAACAGCTTCGCGAAAAGGAGCATCGACCTTGGTAGTTGCATCACTTGAAACAAGTCGAGAGCTCATGTCGACTGGACTTGCGACTGCCTTGCAATCATCCATGCCAAAGCGCTTGAGGATATCATCGACATACCGACGCTGACATAGTGTCACACTGCCATCTTCACCGTCCAAAAGCTCGATCCCAAGAACAAACGCACACTTGCCGCTGTCCGTCATTTCGAACCGCGTCTTCAGGTCGTTCTTGGTTTGTGCAATCAGCTCGAGCGAGCTTCCAGTCACCAAGACGTCGTCCACGTAGACCAGTATGTAAGAAGTAAGAGTTAAGTAAAGTAAATGACTTGTATATTACCGCACACCAGACGCGTTTCGGCCCCCCGCCGGGGGCCTCATCAGTGGTTTGTCAATCTACAAGTGAGAACTATCCATACGTCTAGCTGCCGTACGACCTATAATAATGCATAGAACCCTACTGAACATTCTAGACATACCCTATCATGGGTCGAATCTCTGGAGTCGAATCCAGTGCATCATGCACTTACAACACTCCCCCTCGACGACATGAGATGCAGACCACTTTGGTATCGACCCGCCTGTAATCTCACTGCTGCATCCGTGCACCATGGGAATCTTGATTGAGTCTTGCCCCTGCGCTCCAGCCAACCTCGATGATACCGAGCGTTCCAGGTATTCCAGCTCCCCCATCGTCCAGCACCATGTCACATCTTGACATCTCGTAGTCGTCGTTCGCCTTGCATGTAGTTTCCACTTCTTCTTGACCACAAATACACTTGTCACCACTTGACTTGACTCTTCCTTCGATAGCACTCGCGCATTCAGACCATCTCGCGTCACCACCCTTGCACAAACCCTTTTCGACTGCACGCGCACCGTCAACGATCCCTGTCGATGAATTCTTCGGCGCCTTACTCGTGCATCGAGCGCCTTCTCTGACGGGGTGTCCCTCGCACAAGTTGGTCCTTGGTGAGGTGTCTGCAGCGAGCACTTGGGCTCATAACCTGTTGCATTGTAGATCGGAGCGAGGAAAGCGGAGCAAACGGAGCGGAGATACCGAAGAGAGTAGAGCAGAAAACACTTGCCCAATAGTTGGAAGATTCGAAAGTGATTGATTATCGGGGCTTACTACTTACTACATGATTTATATGTGGTGTACATATAAATCATGTGAAGCGTCTCATCATCCTACGCGTCTAATCAACTATGGTAATTACCGTAAGAACTACGTCGTAAATACTAAGCTGAACAGGCGGTTCGGATTGGATCGGTCACGGTTACCAATACTGGTAGAAAACCGATGACCGTCAACACGTCCGAAGTCTTGATGTAGAGACATGGGTCGAAGTCCGATACTTGAAATCCGATGGAGCACACATACTCGTCGAACGTCTTGTTCCACACTCGCGACGCTTGCTTGAGGCCGTAAATTGACTTCACCAATTCCAGGCAGTCGAACGTACTGTCAAGTTCGACGCCTTCAGGAATCACGCAGAACACTTGTTCCTTCATGACGCCATACAGGAAAGCTGTCACCACATCAAGCTGGTCGATGGGCCATCCAAAATGCTTGGAAATTGCGATCACCATTCGCAGCGTCACATACTTGACCACAGGCGAAAACTTCTCCGTGTAGTCGATGCCATACTTTTGGCGGAAACCCTTGGCCACAAGTCGTGCCTTGTACTTCTCGATAGATCCATCCGCCTTGCGCTTGATCTTGAACACCCATTTTGTGCCAATGGCGCGTTGTCCGTTGGGCAGCTTGGCTGCACGAAACACACCGCGAAGTCGCATTGACTCGAGCTCTGCATGAATTGCTTTTCTCCAGTGCACTTGGTCAGGGCCGCTTACTGCTGCTTCAAATGTTGAGGGCTCTGATAAGTCCACTGCTGCTTCAACGGCATTTGCACTCGCACGCCAAAACACAGGCGGTGCTGAATCACCAGAATCCTTCGTTTCTTCGTCTTCTTCTTGTCGTGACGAGTTGTTTTCCGGCGCGCTTGACTCTTCTAGTCCTGGTCGTTGACGCACTGCACGCGGTCGTGGAGCTGCTGTATCTTCATCATTGAGTCGGTTCTTGCGCTTGCCTGTTTGCTTGTACTCCATTTGACGCAGCTCTTCGTCATCAAGATCCAGCAATTCGAAGTCCAGGTCATCGACATCTTCATCAGTGATCGGCAGTTGAAGTCCAAAGGTGGACTCGTCGAAGTTGACATCGCGGCTGATAACCACCTGCCCCGCCTCAATGTCAAATACACGATATGCCTTGGACACTTCTTCGTAGCCCACGAATATGCCAGCGCGAGCCTTTGGATCCCACTTGAGTCGATTCTCTTTAGGCGTCAGTATGTATGTCTGACAGCCGAATACTCGCATGTGCTTGACGCTTGGCTTGGAGTTGTACACGATCTCAAACGGGGTCTTATGCACAATTTTTGGTGACGGTAGGCGATTCTTGACGTAGATGGCCGTCATTGCTGCTTCAGCCCAGAAGCACTTGTCCAGTTTGGCATGATGAAGCATGCTGCGGCCGATCGTGACAATAGTCCTAATTGATGAACTTTAGACTTCTTGGTCCGAGTGCAAAACGCAAAGTGAATATATATTTATAATAGGTACTTAGTTCGCAACTTTGAATACTACCTCTAAGCCTATTATTCGCAGTGACGTCATCCAGTGACGTCACCCACTGACGTCACCCACTGACGTCATGCAATGACGTCATCCAGTGACGTCATTTCCTGACTTCGCCCTTACTGGTACATACCGGTACCCACCGGTATAGCGAGGCTTGGTCTTCCACTTGCTTCAACACTTGACGCAGCTTGACGAGGTGTCTTCTTCACAGCCGCTGTCTTTTCAACACTCCCTCTCGACTCGTTAGCTGCGGCACCTTGGATCCCAAGTCGATCGCGAATGTTTTCAAATTGTACAGCGGCGATCGGCTTGGTCATCATGTCTGCCAGCATATCTTGAGTCGGGCAATACTCCAAAACGACTTCACCTGATTCCACCTTCTCACGCACAAAATGGTAGCGTATGTCGATGTGTTTTGTTCTCTTATGGAACTCCGGGTTCTTGGCGAGAGCGATTGATCCTTGGTTGTCTTCATACATCTTGATCGCTTCGTCGCTTGTCATCTCACCAAGTTCCCCCAAAAGCACTTTGAGCCATACTGCTTCTTTGGTTGCTTCGGAAAGCGCCATGTATTCTGCTTCTGTTGAAGATAGCGCGACCGTCCGTTGTTTCTGGCTTTTCCAGCTGATGCATCCTCCGCTCATCATGAACACATAGCCGCTTGTACTTCGTCTTGACTCAATGTCGCCGGCCCAGTCTGCGTCGGTGTACCCGCAGATACGGCTTCCTTCTTCACGTGTAAACTCAAGACCATGATTGGGCGTTGCTTGCAGGTATCTCAGCACACGCTTCAAAGCTTGCCAGTGAGTCGGGCATGGGTCGGACGAGAACTGGGATAATGATCCCACTGCAGCAGCTAGATCCGGACGTGTGGCGACCATGAGATACATGATGCCTCCGACAGCACTTCGATATGGCACGTTGCACATGGTGTCTTCGTGCTTGCATTCTTGTTCACACATGTTCTTGGTTAGCTTCAGGCCGGGATCTTGAGGCGTCTTCACTGGCTTGCTGTTATCCATTCCGAACTTGGTTAACACGGACTTGAGGAACTTGGTTTGTTGTACAGTCACCATTCCCGTCTTACGGTCGTTCTTGATCTCCATGCCGAGAAAGTAATCGAGCTCACCGAGATCCGTCATTTCGAAGCGTTTGCTCAGCGCCATCTTGGTTGACTTGAGGAGTTCGTTGTTGCTGCTGGCCAGGATGAGATCATCGACGTAGAGTACCACGAGAATCATGTCTTGGTCGTCTCGCTTGATGTAGATGCAGTGGTCCGATTCGCACTTCTTGAATCCCATCTTGATCATGAACCCATCGATTGTTTGGTTCCACATGCGAGGCGATTGCTTCAAGCCGTAGAGTGATCTCTTTAGCTTGCACACATAGTCCGGCTGTGTTGCATCCAGGTATCCGTCCGGCTGGTCCATGTAGATGTCTTCGTTGAGGGAGCCGTTAAGAAACGCTGTCTTGACGTCCATCTGATGTAGCATTAGGCCGTACTTAGCCGCCATACTGAGCACCACACGAATCGATGTGAACTTGGCCACCGGTGCGAAAGTTTCTTCATAGTCAACTCCGAATTTCTGTGAGAATCCTTTGGCCACAAGTCTTGCCTTGAAACGTTCAACTTCGCCATCTTGATTCTCCTTTACACGAAAAACCCATCGGCACCCGATGGCCTTGCGACCTTTCGGAAGAGGCACGATTTCCCACGTGTCGTTTCTCTGAAGCGAGTCGAACTCCGAGTCACACGCTTCTTTCCACTTGCCGGAGTCGCTTGATTCCATCGCCGACTTGAATGTAGTCGGCGTTTCCCCCACTGAATCAACGATGTAGGCTGCTTCAAAATCCATTGCAGCCGCTGACACATGCTCAAGCGACGGACCTCTGTATGTTCTTCGCTTGGGACTTGGAATGACGGTAGCTTTCTCAAGTGATTGAGTGCGCGTGTGTCTCTTGATGTTGCTCTTCGAAGACCTGGTGTCTTCGTTGTCATCGTCGCTCGAGTCCATGTCGTCGTCAGTTTTACCTTCTTCTTTTTTCTTCGTCCTCATCATGATCATCAAACTCAACGACACTTGACTCATCGTTGTAGTTGCGCGGACCTTCATCAAACTTGTCTTCCATGAATGTGGCATCGCGACTGATCTTGATCGCTCCTGTTGACACTTCCTCAAATCGATATGACTTCTGGTGTTCGGCGTATCCCAGGAAACGACAGAGTGATGACTTGGAGTCGAACTTCGCGCGTTTGTCTTGAGGCACTTGAACATACGCATGGCATCCAAACACTTTAAGGTTGGCCAGAATCGGTTTCTTCATCGTCCACACTTGATATGGAGACTTGTCTTGGTGAATGGCACGTGTTGGACAGCGGTTTCGAAGAAACATCGCCGTCATCACTGCTTCACCCCAGTAGCTCTTTCCCAGTCCAGCGTGTTCCATCATGCAACGCGCACACTCGACCAGCGTGCGATTCATTCTCTCAGCTACTCCGTTTAGCTGAGGAGTATATGGGGGTGTGAACCTTTGTTGTATTCCCCGTTCCGCGCAGAATCGTGCCAGCTTGTCGGACTTGTATTCACCCCCATTGTCGCTTTGAAGGTACTTCACGCGCTTTCCGGTTTGCGTTTCGGCCATCGCAGCGTATTCCATGAACTTCGCCGCAACTTCAGATTTGCTCTTGAGCAGATAGACGACACAGTATCTTGACTTGTCATCAATGAATGTCACGAAGTACCGTTTTCCACTGAAAGTTGCCATCGACATCGGTCCGCATACGTCGCTGTGAATCACTTCGAGGAGTTTGGAGGTGCGAGCTGTAGTGTTTGATTGGAAGCGCACTCGAGTCTGTTTTCCCAGAGCACAACCTTCACACACGTCCCACTTCTTCACCGAAGATATGTCGATGCCAATTCCAATGTTCTTCGTCACGATGCAATTGAGTCCATCGTGACCTATGTGGCCAAGCCGAAGGTGCCAGAGGTACGACTTGGTGCCCCCTTGACATCCCGACGACTTGGCTGCATTTGCTTGTTCCGGCGCCACTGGAGTCATTTGCAGCTTGAACAGTCCTTTACCTTCACGGGCACCAATTTTCCACTTGGTCCCTTTCGCTTCTCCATAGCACCCATCCTTCGTGAACGTCACTGGGCCGACATCCTTGGTGAAGCGGCCGACCGAGAACAGGTTTCTGGATAACTTTGGGATGTGCCACACGTTTGTGAGCACACCTTTCTTCATCCCTTGGGGTGTCTTCATCGACATGACAATGTCCCCACTGCCGATTGCTTGGACGATTCCATCATCCGCGAGATGGACATCCACAGCGTCAAACCCCTTGTAGTTCCGCATGAACTTCTTGGAGCACGTCATGTGCTGCGTCGCCCCGGAGTCGACCAGCCAGATGTCGCTCGATTTCGCAGATGTCGTTTCACCGATCGAAAAGAGGTAGTCGCCCGAGTCTTCTTCTTGAGCGACGTTTGCACGTTGTGATCGATAGCGGTCGCCGCTGTCTTGAGCACGCTGTGGCCGGTGTCTCTCCGTGTTTTCTTGGATGCGCGAGGGGCACTCCGCCATCCAGTGACCAATCTTTCCGCAATTGTGGCACGGCCAGGACTTCTTCACTGGTCGCCCTTTGCGCTGATTGTCCCTTGTGATGAACGCTTGACCTTGCGAAGCTTCATCACCTTTACTTCCTTGCTCCTTCCGCTTCATTTCTTCATGAAGCAGTCGAGACGTCACGAGCTCCCAGCTAAGAGTGTCTGAGCGCGACTCCAAAGCTGTGATCAAGAATTGATACGAGTCACTCAGGCTGCCGAGGAGTGTGATCACCAGATCGTCCTCGCAGACTGGAGCCCCCACCGCTTCTAGCTGTTCCGCCAGCGTCTTGAGCTTGTTGATGTGTTCGAGCACATCGTCGCCTTCTTCCATCATTGTCGTGAAGAAGCGACGGCGCAAGAACAGCTTGTTGGCAAGACTCTTCTTCTCGAAGTGGTCTTCCAACCTTGACCATGCGTCGCATGCACCACTTGCCGACCGGACCAACGGTAGCTGGGAATCTTCCATGGCTAGACAGATCACTGCCATCGCCTTTCTTGACTTCCTCTTGTACGTCGCTTGGTCCAACTGAGTCTCGCACTGTTCCGCCTTGATCTCACCGCTGACGACCTCCCATAGGTCCCGTTCCTCCAGCACCATCTGCATCTTGAACTTCCAGGCGTGGAAGTTAGTTCCATCGAACTTGGAGATGCGGAGGGAGGAGGCGTCCATGGCAGCTAAGCTTGAATTGTTGGCGGTTTCAGAGTCTGACGAACTTGGGCTCATAACCTGATGAACTTTAGACTTCTTGGTCCGAGTGCAAAACGCAAAGTGAATATATATTTATAATAGGTACTTAGTTCGCAACTTTGAATACTACCTCTAAGCCTATTATTCGCAGTGACGTCATCCAGTGACGTCACCCACTGACGTCACCCACTGACGTCATGCAATGACGTCATCCAGTGACGTCATTTCCTGACTTCGCCCTTACTGGTACATACCGGTACCCACCGGTATAGCGAAGCTTGGTCTTCCACTTGCTTCAACACTTGACGCAGCTTGACGAGGTGTCTTCTTCACAGCCGCTGTCTTTTCAACACTAATGACACGCTCTGCTGTTCCGTTTGTTTGATGTGCATACGGCACCGTTGTCTGCTGTTCAATGCCTTCGTCTTCGTAGAACAGCTGAAGCGAGGTTGCAAACTCGCGAGCTCCGTCGTGTCGCACGAACTTGACCTTCTTACAGAATTGCGTCTGTACCATGGTGATATATGTTGTAAGTGCATGATGCACTGGATTCGACTCCAGAGATTCGACCCATGATAGGGTATGTCTAGAATGTTCTTTAGGGTTCTATGCATTATTATAGGTCGTACGGCAGCTAGACGTATGGATAGTTCTCACTTGTAGATTGACAAACCACTGATGAGGCCCCCGGCGGGGGGCCGAAACGCGTCTGGTGCGCGGTAATATACAAGTTATTTACTTTACTTAACTCCTACTTCTTACAGGTTATGAGCCCAAGTGCTCGCTGCAGACACCTCACCAAGGACCAACTTGTGCGAGGGACACCCCGTCAGAGAAGGCGCTCGATGCACGAGTAAGGCGTGTTGCATTGTAGATCGGAGCGAGGAAAGCGGAGCAAACGGAGCGGAGAGACCGAAGAGAGTAGAGCAGAAAACACTTGCCCAATAGTTGGAAGATTCGAAAGTGATTGATTATCGGGGCTTACTACTTACTACATGATTTATATGTGGTGTACATATAAATCATGTGAAGCGTCTCATCATCCTACGCGTCTAATCAACTATGGTAATTACCGTAAGAACTACGTCGTAAATACTAAGCTGAACAGGCGGTTCGGATTGGATCGGTCACGGTTACCAATACTGGTAGAAAACCGATGACCGTCAACACGCCCCCTCAATCCGAATGCTCACGAATCCCGAGAGCCGTCTTCATCTCCTTGTGGCGTGGTCCATGAAGTCCCTTCGTCATGATGTCCGCTAACATCACCGCAGTTTCACAATACTTGAGCTTCACTTCACCGCGCTTGACCTCATCACGGATGTGATGGTACTTGATATCAATGTGCTTGGCACGGCCGTGGTTGACTGGGTTCTTCGTCATCTTGATACACGACTGATTGTCTTCATGGATCATGAGTTCCGGTCCTTCTTCATTGGCAGCCATCACGATCTCACAAAGCAGACGATGAATCCACTTGCCCTCTTGAATTGCCAAGCTGAGTGCGATGTATTCGGCTTCACTCGTGGACAACGAAACACTTGGCTGCTTCTTGCTGCCCCAACTGACTGGCGCACCGAGTAGCATGAACGTGTACCCCGATGTTGACTTGCGGTCGGTAAGATCACCAGCCCAATCCGCATCCGAATATCCACGGAAGTCGATCCTTGCACTTGGCTTGTAGCAAATTCCATGCGTCTTGGTGCCTTGTAGGTAGCGAAAGATACGCTTAACTGCAACCCAGTGTTCTTCTTGGGGATTTTCCATGAACCGCGACACATAGCCCACAGCAAACGCAATGTCCGGACGCGTTGCAGTGGTCAGGTGCATCAACGCACCAACAGCTTCGCGAAAAGGAGCATCGACCTTGGTAGTTGCATCACTTGAAACAAGTCGAGAGCTCATGTCGACTGGACTTGCGACTGCCTTGCAATCATCCATGCCAAAGCGCTTGAGGATATCATCGACATACCGACGCTGACATAGTGTCACACTGCCATCTTCACCGTCCAAAAGCTCGATCCCAAGAACAAACGCACACTTGCCGCTGTCCGTCATTTCGAACCGCGTCTTCAGGTCGTTCTTGGTTTGTGCAATCAGCTCGAGTGAGCTTCCAGTCACCAAGACGTCGTCCACGTAGACCAGTATAAACACGCAATGGCCGTCCGAAGTCTTGATGTAGAGACATGGGTCGAAGTCCGATACTTGAAATCCGATGGAGCACACATACTCGTCGAACGTCTCGTTCCACACTCGCGACGCTTGCTTGAGGCCGTAAATTGACTTCACCAATTCCAGGCAGTCGAACGTACTGTCAAGTTCGACGCCTTCAGGAATCACGCAGAACACTTGTTCCTTCATGACGCCATACAGGAAAGCTGTCACCACATCAAGCTGGTCGATGGGCCATCCAAAATGCTTGGAAATTGCGATCACCATTCGCAGCGTCACATACTTGACCACAGGCGAAAACGTCTCCGTGTAGTCGATGCCATACTTTTGGCGGAAACCCTTGGCCACAAGTCGTGCCTTGTACTTCTCGATTGACCCATCCGCCTTGCGCTTGATCTTGAACACCCATTTTGTGCCAATGGCGCGTTGTCCGTTGGGCAGCTTGGCTGCACGAAACACACCGCGAAGTCGCATTGACTCGAGCTCTGCATGAATTGCTTTTCTCCAGTGCACTTGGTCAGGGCCGCTTACTGCTGCTTCAAATGTTGAGGGCTCTGATAAGTCCACTGCTGCTTCAACGGCATTTGCACTCGCACGCCAAAACACAGGCGGTGCTGAATCACCAGAATCCTTCGTTTCTTCGTCTTCTTCTTGTCGTGACGAGTTGTTTTCCGGCGCGCTTGACTCTTCTAGTCCTGGTCGTTGACGCACTGCACGCGGTCGTGGAGCTGCTGTATCTTCATCATTGAGTCGGTTCGTGCGCTTGCCTGTTTGCTTGTACTCCATTTGACGCAGCTCTTCGTCATCAAGATCCAGCAATTCGAAGTCCAGGTCATCGACATCTTCATCAGTTATCGGCAGTTGAAGTCCAAAGGTGGACTCGTCGAAGTTGACATCGCGGCTGATAACCACCTGCCCCGCCTCGATGTCATAAACACGATATGCCTTCGAAACTTCTTCGTAGCCCACGAATATGCCAGCGCGAGCCTTTGGATCCCACTTGAGTCGATTCTCTTTAGGCGTCAGTATGTATGTCTGACACCCGAATGTTCGCATGTGCTTGACGCTTGGTTTCAAGTTGTAGACGATCTCAAACGGGGTCTTGTGCACGACTTTAGGTGACGGCAGTCGATTCTTGACGTAGATGGCCGTCATCGCTGCTTCGGCCCAGAAACACTTGTCCAGTTTGGCATGATGAAGCATGCTGCGGCCGATCGTGACAATAGTCCTAATGGCACGCTCTGCTGTTCCGTTTGTTTGATGTGCATACGGCACCGTTGTCTGCTGTTCAATGCCTTCGTCTTCGTAGAACAGTTGAAGCGAGTTGGTTGCAAACTCGCGAGCTCCGTCGTGTCGCACGAACTTGACCTTCTTACAGAATTGCGTCTGTACCATGGTGATATATTTCCGGATGTAGTCTTCACTCTCGGACTTCACTCGTAGGCAAAAGCCCTTCATGCATCCACTGGCTTCGTCGATGATCAGCAGCAAATATTTGCTGCCACCGAGCGAATCCTTTTCCATGGGCCCGCAGATGTCCAGATGAAGTAGCTCAAACGTATCGTAGCTGCGCTTGTCTCGGTTACTTGGAAATGGTTTTTGACCATTTTCCCTTGTTGACATCCTCGACATGTAGTTGCTCCACCCGACTTGAGAGGGACTCGCACATCCTTGATCATGTTGGTCGCGATCATCTTGCGAAGTACATCGACTGGAGCATGACCCATTCTCGCATGTAGATCGGCACAACTGGTTCCACTTGTTGTCACATTCGCTGATCGTTGAGTCGTCCGAAGCCAGTAGAGTCCATCCACGAGATCCGCTGTCGCCACCACTTGCTGTGAGTTCTTGAGAGTCACATACATCTTGGACCCGTCAAACACGACTTGAAACTTGCCATGGCTGTTAATCTGTGGCACCGAGAGCAGGTTCTTGCTCATACTTGGAACATATAGCGCGTTCTTGATTTCGATCTCACGCTCTTCACCGTTGGGCAGAACCACCTTTTCCATGATGGTTCCCACACCCTTGATGGCCACCTTGTTGCCATCAGCCACCAAGAGTTCGCCCTCATTGCGCTCTGCCAAACTTGCGAACTTGGTCTTGTCGTGGCAAATGTGGTGCGTTGCACCACTGTCGACGGCCCACATTCCAGACACGTCCTTGCTCGTCGAAACTCCACATTCGAACGAGACTGCAAACGCCACTCGATCGTAGCCATTGCCTTCATCATGATGTCCCCACTGGACATTGTTAGCCCCGCGTCCACGACCATTGCCGCCGCGTCGGGCTCCCCGACCTTCGTTCTTCTGCTTTGTCCAGCAACGATCCACCGTGTGTCCCACCTTGCCACAATACGTGCATTGGTAGGGCTCACGCTCGGCGCTGAATGCCTTGCTTGCATCTTCAGCCTTCACCGTAGTCGCTGTCGTTGTCCCTTTTTCTCCTTGACGCTTGGCATGCTCATTCGTCAGGACTCTCACCACATCTTGAGTGCGAAGCTCGGTGCTGCTCATTTCCATGTTGAGCACCACATTTTCGTAGCTCTTCGGAAGACTGAGTAGCAGACAAATTGCAACGTCTTCGTCTTCCATCTTCGCACCGATGCCGCTAAGCTTGGCGGAGATGTTGAGGACCTCGTTGCAGTGATGCATGACGTTCGCGCCTTCAGCCATCTTGATACTGAAAAGTTGTCGCTTGAGGTAGATGCGTCCTGCCTTCTGCGACCCACCGTACAGCGTCTTCAGACTTGTCCACGCAACCCAGGCTTCCTCCCCCACCCAAAACAACAACCCCCCCCCCCCCCCCCCCCCCCCCACCCACCCCCCACCCACCCCGCCCCCCCCCACCCCCCCGACCCCCCCCCGCCCCCACAAACGACAGGAACAACCACAACCCCCCCACAACAAACAAAACGAAACAAAAAAAAACCCCAAAAAAAAACCGCCCCCACCCCGCCTCCCCCCCCCCCTCAAACCACCAAAAAAGGGAAGGGAGGCGGAGGAACGGGAGGCCGCGCCGCGCCCCCCCCCAAAACCATGAAAGATGGGAGAAAGGAAAAAAGAAAAAAAGAAAAAAAGAAACAGAAGAGAGAAAAAAAAAAAAAAAAAAACTAATAAAAAAAAGAGTGGGAAAGTAAGAAATTGGGGGGCTTTTTTTTCTAACTTGATTAAAATGTATTGGTGGTGTACATAAAAAGTGGGGAGCCCCCCTCATCATCCCACCCAACCAAACAACGAAAGTAACCAAAAAAAAAACCTCAGAAAAAAAAAAGAAGAAGAGGGGGCGGGGAGAGGGGCGGGGACACGGACACCAATACGGGGGGAAGACGACGACCAACAAGAAGGCAAGGGAAGAATCCATCGAGAGGGAGGGGGGGGGGGGGGCGGGCGAGAAGAAAAGGGGGGTGGGGGGGGGGGGGGGAAGAAGGGTCGGATGGCGGGGGGGCTTCGAAGGAAAGAAGAGAAAAGGGGGGGGAGAGGGGTTTTTGGGGTCAAGAAGTGGAAACTACATCCAAGGCGAACGACGACTACGAGATGTCAAGATGTGACATGGTGCTGGACGATGGGGGAGCTGGAATACCTGGAACGCTCGGTATCATCGAGGTTGGCTGGAGCGCAGGGGCAAGACTCAATCAAGATTCCCATGGTGCACGGATGCAGCAGTGAGGATTACAGGCGGGTCGATACCAAAGTGGTCTGCATCTCATGTCGTCGAGGGGAGTGTTGTAAGTGCATGATGCACTGGATTCGACTCCAGAGATTCGACCCATGATAGGGTATGTCTAGAATGTTCTTTAGGGTTCTATGCATTATTATAGGTCGTACGGCAGCTAGACGTATGGATAGTTCTCACTTGTAGATTGACAAACCACTGATGAGGCCCCCGGCGGGGGGCCGAAACGCGTCTGGTGCGCGGTAATATACAAGTTATTTACTTTACTTAACTCCTACTTCTTACATAATCAACTATGGTAATTACCGTAAGAACTACGTCGTAAATACTAGGCTGAACAGGTGGTTGGGATTGGACCGGTCACAGTTACCAATACCGGTAGGAAACCGATGACCGTCAACACACCCCCTCAATGCGAACACGCACAAATCCCGAGAGCCGCCGTCGTCTCCTTGTGGCGTGGCCCGTGAAGTCCCTTCGTCATGATGTCCGCTAACATCACCGCAGTTTCACAGTACTTGAGCTTCACTTCACCGCGCTTGACCTCATCACGGATGTGATGGTACTTGATATCAATGTGCTTGGCACGGCCGTGGTTGACTGGGTTCTTCGTCATCTTGATACACGACTGATTGTCTTCATGTATCATGAGCTCCGGTCCTTCTTCATTGGCAGCCATCATGATCTCACAAAGCAGACGATGAATCCACTTGCCCTCTTGAATCGCCAAGCTGAGTGCGATGTATTCAGCTTCAGTCGTGGACAACGAAACACTTGGCTGCTTCTTGCTGCCCCAACTCACTGGCGCACCGAGTAGCATGAACGTGTACCCCGATGTTGACTTGCGGTCGGTAAGATCACCAGCCCAATCCGCATCCGAATATCCACGGAAGTCGATCCTTGCACTTGGCTTGTAGCAAATTCCATGCGTCTTAGTGCCTTGTAGGTAGCGAAAGATACGCTTAACTGCAACCCAGTGTTCTTCTTGGGGATTTTCCATGAACCGCGACAGATAGCCCACAGCAAACGCAATGTCCGGACGCGTTGCAGTGGTCAGGTGCATCAACGCACCAACAGCTTCGCGAAAAGGAGCATCGACCTTGGTAGTTGCATCACTTGAAACAATTCGAGAGCTCATGTCGACTGGACTTGCGACTGCCTTGCAATCATCCATGCCAAAGCGCTTGAGGATATCATCGACATACCGACGCTGACATAGTGTCACACTGCCATCTTCACCGTCCAAAAGCTCGATCCCAAGAACAAATGCACACTTGCCGCTATCAGTCATTTCGAAGCGTGTCTTCAGGTCTTCCTTGGTGTGTGCAATCAACTTGGGTGAGCTTCCTGTCACCAACACGTCATCCACATAGACCAGTATAAACACGCAATGGCCGTCCGAAGTCTTGATGTAGAGACATGGGTCGAAGCCTGACACTTGAAATCCAATGGAACACACACTCGTCAAAAGTCTCGTTCCATACTCGCAAAGCTTGCTTCAGGCCGTAAATTGCCTTCACCAATTCGAGGCAGTCGAACGTACTGTCAAGTTCGACGCCTTCAGGAATCACGCAGAACACTTGTTCCTTCATGACGCCATACAGGAAAGCTGTCACCACATCAAGCTGGTCGATGGGCCATCCAAAATGCTTGGAAATTGCGATCACCATTCTCAGCGTCACATACTTGACCACAGGCGAAAACTTCTCCGTGTAGTCGATGCCATACTTTTGGCGGAAACCCTTGGCCACAAGTCGTGCCTTGTACTTCTCGATAGATCCATCCGCCTTGCGCTTGATCTTGAACACCCATTTTGTGCCAATGGCGCGTTGTCCGTTGGGCAGCTTGGCTGCACGAAACACACCGCGAAGTCGCATTGACTCGAGCTCTGCATGAATTGCTTTTCTCCAGTGCACTTGGTCAGGGCCGCTTACTGCTGCTTCAAATGTTGAGGGCTCTGATAAGTCCACTGCTGCTTCAACGGCATTTGCACTCGCACGCCAAAACACAGGCGGTGTTGAATCACCAGAATCCTTCGTTTCTTCGTCTTCTTCTTGTCGTGACGAGTTGTTTTCCGGTGCGCTTGACTCTTCTAGTCCTGGTCGTTGACGCACTGCACGCGGTCGTGGAGCTGCTGTATCTTCATCATTGAGTCGGTTCTTGCGCTTGCCTGTTTGCTTGTACTCCATTTGACGCAGCTCTTCGTCATCAAGATCCAGCAATTCGAAGTCCAGGTCATCGACATCTTCATCAGTGATCGGCAGTTGAAGTCCAAAGGTGGACTCGTCGAAGTTGACATCGCGGCTGATAACCACCTGCCCCGCCTCGATGTCATAAACACGATATGCCTTCGAAACTTCTTCGTAGCCCACGAATATGCCAGCGCGAGCCTTTGGATCCCACTTGAGTCGATTCTCTTTAGGCGTCAGTATGTACGTCTGACATCCGAATGTTCGCATGTGCTTGACGCTTGGTTTCAAGTTGTAGACGATCTCAAACGGGGTCTTGTGCACGACTTTAGGTGACGGCAGTCGATTCTTGACGTAGATGGCCGTCATCGCTGCTTCGGCCCAGAAACACTTGTCCAGTTTGGCATGATGAAGCATGCTGCGGCCGATCGTGACAATAGTCCTAATGGCACGCTCTGCTGTTCCGTTTGTTTGATGTGCATACGGCACCGTTGTCTGCTGTTCAATGCCTTCGTCTTCGTAGAACAGCTGAAGCGAGTTGGTTGCAAACTCGCGAGCTCCGTCGTGTCGCACGAACTTGACCTTCTTACAGAATTGCGTCTGTACCATGGTGATATATTTCCGGATGTAGTCTTCACTCTCGGACTTCACTCGTAGACAAAATCCCTTCATGCATCCACTGGCTTCGTCGATGATCAGCAGCAAATATTTGCTGCCACCGAGCGAATCCTTTTCCATGGGCCCGCAGATTGTTGACGGTCATCGGTTTTCTACCAGTATTGGTAACCGTGACCGATCCAATCCGAACCGCCTGTTCAGCTTAGTATTTACGACGTAGTTCTTACGGTAATTACCATAGTTGATTAGACGCGTAGGATGATGAGACGCTTCACATGATTTATATGTACACCACATATAAATCATGTAGTAAGTAGTAAGCCCCGATAATCAATCACTTTCGAATCTTCCAACTATTGGGCAAGTGTTTTCTGCTCTACTCTCTTCGGTCTCTCCGCTCCGTTTGCTCCGCTTTCCTCGCTCCGATCTACAATGCAACAGGTTATGAGCCCAAGCGCCATGTCGTCCACCAGCAACGTCTCCATTGACAAGTTCAACGGAGACAATTACGCAACGTGGAGCCGGTACTGTTGACGGTCATCGGTTTTCTACCAGTATTGGTAACCGTGACCGATCCAATCCGAACCGCCTGTTCAGCTTAGTATTTACGACGTAGTTCTTACGGTAATTACCATAGTTGATTAGACGCGTAGGATGATGAGACGCTTCACATGATTTATATGTACACCACATATAAATCATGTAGTAAGTAGTAAGCCCCGATAATCAATCACTTTCGAATCTTCCAACTATTGGGCAAGTGTTTTCTGCTCTACTCTCTTCGGTCTCTCCGCTCCGTTTGCTCCGCTTTCCTCGCTCCGATCTACAATGCAACAGGTTATGAGCCCAAGCGCCATGTCGTCCACCAGCAACGCCTCCATTGACAAGTTCAACGGAGACAATTACGCAACGTGGAGCCGGTACATGCGCGGTGTGTTTTTGACGAAGTCCGTCTGGCACGTTGTCAACCGTGAAGTGACTCCGACTTTCACCGACCCGCGAGCGTCCGATGACTACGTCAAGGCAAGCAACGTCGCGTTTGGTATGATGCTGCTGCACATGAACGCGGACTACCATCATGTGCTGGACAACTGCGAGGAAGCCTGGGTTGCGTGGACAAGTCTGAAGACGCTGTACGGTGGGTCGCAGAAGGCAGGACGCATCTACCTCAAGCGACAACTTTTCAGTATCAAGATGGCTGAAGGCGCGAACGTCATGCATCACTGCAACGAGGTCCTCAACATCTCCGCCAAGCTTAGCGGCATCGGTGCGAAGATGGAAGACGAAGACGTTGCAATTTGTCTGCTACTCAGTCTTCCGAAGAGCTACGAAAATGTGGTGCTCAACATGGAAATGAGCAGCACCGAGCTTCGCACTCAAGATGTGGTGAGAGTCCTGACGAATGAGCATGCCAAGCGTCAAGGAGAAAAAGGGACAACGACAGCGACTACGGTGAAGGCTGAAGATGCAAGCAAGGCATTCAGCGCCGAGCGTGAGCCCTACCAATGCACGTATTGTGGCAAGGTGGGACACACGGTGGATCGTTGCTGGACAAAGCAGAAGAACGAAGGTCGGGGAGCCCGACGCGGCGGCAATGGTCGTGGACGCGGGGCTAACAATGTCCAGTGGGGACATCATGATGAAGGCAATGGCTACGATCGAGTGGCGTTTGCAGTCTCGTTCGAATGTGGAGTTTCGACGAGCAAGGACGTGTCTGGAATGTGGGCCGTCGACAGTGGTGCAACGCACCACATTTGCCACGACAAGACCAAGTTCGCAAGTTTGGCAGAGCGCAATGAGGGCGAACTCTTGGTGGCTGATGGCAACAAGGTGGCCATCAAGGGTGTGGGAACCATCATGGAAAAGGTGGTTCTGCCCAACGGTGAAGAGCGTGAGATCGAAATCAAGAACGCGCTATATGTTCCAAGTATGAGCAAGAACCTGCTCTCGGTGCCACAGATTAACAGCCATGGCAAGTTTCAAGTCGTGTTTGACGGGTCCAAGATGTATGTGACTCTCAAGAACTCACAGCAAGTGGTGGCGACAGCGGATCTCGTGGATGGACTCTACTGGCTTCGGACGACTCAACGATCAGCGAATGTGACAACAAGTGGAACCAGTTGTGCCGATCTACATGCGAGAATGGGTCATGCTCCAGTCGATGTACTTCGCAAGATGATCGCGACCAACATGATCAAGGATGTGCGAGTCCCTCTCAAGTCGGGTGGAGCAACTACATGTCGAGGATGTCAACAAGGGAAAATGGTCCAAAAACCATTTCCAAGCAACCGAGACAAGCGCAGCTACGATACGTTTGAGCTACTTCATCTGGACATCTGCGGGCCCATGGAAAAGGATTCGCTCGGTGGCAGCAAATATTTGCTGCTGATCATCGACGAAGCCAGTGGATGCATGAAGGGGCTTTTGTCTACGAGTGAAGTCCGAGAGTGAAGACTACATCCGGAAATATATCACCATGGTACAGACGCAATTCTGTAAGAAGGTCAAGTTCGTGCGACACGACGGAGCTCGCGAGTTTGCAACCAACTCGCTTCAACTGTTCTACGAAGACGAAGGCATTGAACAGCAGACAACGGTGCCGTATGCACATCAAACAAACGGAACAGCAGAGCGTGCCATTAGGACTATTGTCACGATCGGCCGCAGCATGCTTCATCATGCCAAACTGGACAAGTGTTTCTGGGCCGAAGCAGCGATGACGGCCATCTACGTCAAGAATCGACTGCCGTCACCTAAAGTCGTGCACAAGACCCCGTTTGAGATCGTCTACAACTTGAAACCAAGCGTCAAGCACATGCGAACATTCGGGTGTCAGACATACATACTGACGCCTAAAGAGAATCGACTCAAGTGGGATCCAAAGGCTCGCGCTGGCATATTCGTGGGCTACGAAGAAGTTTCGAAGGCATATCGTGTTTATGACATCGAGGCGGGGCAGGTGGTTATCAGCCGCGATGTCAACTTCGACGAGTCCACCTTTGGACTTCAACTGCCGATCACTGATGAAGATGTCGATGACCTGGACTTCGAATTGCTGGATCTTGATGACGAAGAGCTGCGTCAAATGGAGTACAAGCAAACAGGCAAGCGCAAGAACCGACTCAATGATGAAGATACAGCAGCTCCACGACCGCGTGCAGTGCGTCAACGACCAGGACTAGAAGAGTCAAGCGCGCCGGAAAACAACTCGTCACGACAAGAAGAAGACGAAGAAACGAAGGATTCTGGTGATTCAACACCGCCTGTGTTTTGGCGTGCGAGTGCAAATGCCGTTGAAGCAGCAGTGGACTTATCAGAACCCTCAACATTTGAAGCAGCAGTAAGCGGCCCTGACCAAGTGCACTGGAGAAAAGCAATTCATGCAGAGCTCGAGTCAATGCGACTTCGCGGTGTGTTTCGTGCAGCCAAGCTGCCCAACGGACAACGCGCCATTGGCACAAAACGGGTGTTCAAGATCAAGCGCAAGGCGGATGGGTCAATCGAGAAGTACAAGGCACGACTTGTGGCCAAGGGTTTCCGCCAAAAGTATGGCATCGACTACTGTTGCATTGTAGATCGGAGCGAGGAAAGCGGAGCAAACGGAGCGGAGAGACCGAAGAGAGTAGAGCAGAAAACACTTGCCCAATAGTTGGAAGATTCGAAAGTGATTGATTATCGGGGCTTACTACTTACTACATGATTTATATGTGGTGTACATATAAATCATGTGAAGCGTCTCATCATCCTACGCGTCTAATCAACTATGGTAATTACCGTAAGAACTACGTCGTAAACACTAAGCTGAACAGGCGGTTCGGATTGGATCGGTCACGGTTACCAATACTGGTAGAAAACCGATGACCGTCAACAAGGCGCCGAAGAATTCATCGACAGGGATCGTTGACGGTGCGCGTGCAGTCGAAAAGGGTTTGTGCAAGGGTGGTGACGCGAGATGGTCTGAATGCGCGAGTGCTATCGAAGGAAGAGTCAAGTCAAGTGGTGACAAGTGTATTTGTGGTCAAGAAGTGGAAACTACATCCAAGGCGAACGACGACTACGAGATGTCAAGATGTGACATGGTGCTGGACGATGGGGGAGCTGGAATACCTGGAACGCTCGGTATCATCGAGGTTGGCTGGAGCGCAGGGGCAAGACTCAATCAAGATTCCCATGGTGCACGGATGCAGCAGTGAGGATTACAGGCGGGTCGATACCAAAGTGGTCTGCATCTCATGTCGTCGAGGGGGAGTGTTGTAAGTGCATGATGCACTGGATTCGACTCCAGAGATTCGACCCATGATAGGGTATGTCTAGAATGTTCTTTAGGGTTCTATGCATTATTATAGGTCGTACGGCAGCTAGACGTATGGATAGTTCTCACTTGTAGATTGACAAACCACTGATGAGGCCCCCGGCGGGGGGCCGAAACGCGTCTGGTGCGCGGTAATATACAAGTTATTTACTTTACTTAACTCCTACTTCTTACATAATCAAATATGGTAATTACCGTAAGAACTACGTCGTAAATACTAGGCTGAACAGGTGGTTGGGATTGGACCGGTCACAGTTACCAATACCGGTAGGAAACCGATGACCGTCAACACACCCCCTCAATGCGAACACGCACAAATCCCGAGAGCCGCCGTCGTCTCCTTGTGGCGTGGCCCGTGAAGTCCCTTCGTCATGATGTCCGCTAACATCACCGCAGTTTCACAGTACTTGAGCTTCACTTCACCGCGCTTGACCTCATCACGGATGTGATGGTACTTGATATCAATGTGCTTGGCACGGCCGTGGTTGACTGGGTTCTTCGTCATCTTGATACACGACTGATTGTCTTCATGGATCATGAGTTCCGGTCCTTCTTCATTGGCAGCCATCACGATCTCACAAAGCAGACGATGAATCCACTTGCCCTCTTGAATCGCCAAGCTGAGTGCGATGTATTCGGCTTCACTCGTGGACAACGAAACACTTGGCTGCTTCTTGCTGCCCCAACTGACTGGCGCACCGAGTAGCATGAACGTGTACCCCGATGTTGACTTGCGGTCGGTAAGATCACCAGCCCAATCCGCATCCGAATATCCACGGAAGTCGATCCTTGCACTTGGCTTGTAGCAAATTCCATGCGTCTTGGTGCCTTGTAGGTAGCGAAAGATACGCTTAACTGCAACCCAGTGTTCTTCTTGGGGATTTTCCATGAACCGCGACACATAGCCCACAGCAAACGCAATGTCCGGACGCGTTGCAGTGGTCAGGTGCATCAACGCACCAACAGCTTCGCGAAAAGGAGCATCGACCTTGGTAGTTGCATCACTTGAAACAATTCGAGAGCTCATGTCGACTGGACTTGCGACTGCCTTGCAATCATCCATGCCAAAGCGCTTGAGGATATCATCGACATACCGACGCTGACATAGTGTCACACTGCCATCTTCACCGTCCAAAAGCTCGATCCCAAGAACAAACGCACACTTGCCGCTGTCCGTCATTTCGAACCGCGTCTTCAGGTCGTTCTTGGTTTGTGCAATCAGCTCGAGCGAGCTTCCAGTCACCAAGACGTCGTCCACGTAGACCAGTATAAACACGCAATGGCCGTCCGAAGTCTTGATGTAGAGACATGGGTCGAAGTCCGATACTTGAAATCCGATGGAGCACACATACTCGTCGAACGTCTTGTTGCATTGTATATCGGAGCGAGGAAAGCGGAGCGAACGGAGCGGAGAGACCGAAGAGAGTAGAGCAGAAAACACTTGCCCAATAGTTGGAAGATTCGAAAGTGATTGATTATCGGGGCTTACTACTTACTACATGATTTATATGTGGTGTACATATAAATCATGTGAAGCGTCTCATCATCCTACGCGTCTAATCAACTATGGTAATTACCGTAAGAACTACGTCGTAAATACTAAGCTGAACAGGCGGTTCGGATTGGATCGGTCACGGTTACCAATACTGGTAGAAAACCGATGACCGTCAACACGCCCCCTCAATCCGAATGCTCACGAATCCCGAGAGCCGTCGTCATCTCCTTGTGGCGTGGTCCGTGAAGTGCCTTGGTCATGATGTCTGCTAACATCGCCGTAGTCTCACAGTACTTGAGCTGGACTTGGCCGCGCTTGACCTCATCACAGATGTGATGGTACTTGATATCGATGAGCTTGGCATGGCCATGGTTGACAGGATTCTTCGTCATCTTGATGCACGATTGATTGTCTTCATAGATCATGAGTTCCGGTCCTTCTTCATTGGCAGCCATCACGATCTCACAAAGCAGACGATGAATCCACTTGCCCTCTTGAATCGCCAAGCTGAGTGCGATGTATTCTGCTTCACTCTTCGACAGCGAAACACACTTGGTTGTTTCCTGCTGCCCCAGCTCACTGGCGCACCGAGTAGCATGAACGTGTACCCCGATGTTGACTTGCGGTCGGTAAGATCACCAGCCCAATCCGCATCCGAATATCCACGGAAGTCGATCCTTGCACTTGGCTTGTAGCAAATTCCATGCGTCTTGGTGCCTTGTAGGTAGCGAAAGATACGCTTAACTGCAACCCAGTGTTCTTCTTGGGGATTTTCCATGAACCGCGACAGATAGCCCACAGCAAACGCAATGTCCGGACGCGTTGCAGTGGTCAGGTGCATCAACGCACCAACAGCTTCGCGAAAAGGAGCATCGACCTTGGTAGTTGCATCACTTGAAACAATTCGAGAGCTCATGTCGACTGGACTTGCGACTGCCTTGCAATCATCCATGCCAAAGCGCTTGAGGATATCATCGACATACCGACGCTGACATAGTGTCACACTGCCATCTGCGCCGTCCAAAAGCTCGACTCTAAGCACAAATGCACACTTGCCGCTGTCAGTCATTTCGAACCGCGTCTTCAGGTCGTTCTTGGTTTGTGCAATCAGCTCGAGCGAGCTTCCAGTCACCAAGACGTCGTCCACGTAGACCAGTATAAACACGCAATGGCCGTCCGAAGTCTTGATGTAGAGACATAGGTCGAAGCCTGACACTTGAAATCCAATGGAACACACACTCGTCAAAAGTCTCGTCAAAGTCTCGTTCCATACTCGCAAAGCTTGCTTCAGGCCGTAAATTGCCTTCACCAATTCGAGACAGTCGAACGTACTGTCAAGTTCGACGCCTTCAGGAATCACGCAGAACACTTGTTCCTTCATGACGCCATACAGGAAAGCTGTCACCACATCAAGCTGGTCGATGGGCCATCCAAAATGCTTGGAAATTGCGATCACCATTCTCAGCGTCACATGCTTGACCACGGGAGAAAACGTCTCCGTGTAGTCGATTCCATACTTCGAGCGAAAGCCCTTTGCCGCGAGACGTGCCTTGTACTTCTCGATAGATCCATCCGCCTTGCGCTTGATCTTGAACACCCATTTTGTGCCAATGGCGCGTTGTCCGTTGGGCAGCTTGGCTGCACGAAACACACCGCGAAGTCGCATTGACTCGAGCTCTGCATGAATTGCTTTTCTCCAGTGCACTTGGTCAGGGCCGCTTACTGCTGCTTCAAATGTTGAGGGCTCTGATAAGTCCACTGCTGCTTCAACGGCATTTGCACTCGCACGCCAAAACACAGGCGGTGTTGAATCACCAGAATCCTTCGTTTCTTCGTCTTCTTCTTGGCGTGACGAGTTGTTTTCCGGCGCGCTTGACTCTTCTAGTCCTGGTCGTTGACGCACTGCACGCGGTCGTGGAGCTGCTGTATCTTCATCATTGAGTCGGTTCTTGCGCTTGCCTGTTTGCTTGTACTCCATTTGACGCAGCTCTTCGTCATCAAGATCCAGCAATTCGAAGTCCAGGTCATCGACATCTTCATCAGTGATCGGCAGTTGAAGTCCAAAGGTGGACTCGTCGAAGTTGACATCGCGGCTGATAACCACCTGCCCCGCCTCGATGTCATAAACACGATATGCCTTCGAAACTTCTTCGTAGCCCACGAATATGCCAGCGCGAGCCTTTGGATCCCACTTGAGTCGATTCTCTTTAGGCGTCAGTATGTATGTCTGACACCCGAATGTTCGCATGTGCTTGACGCTTGGTTTCAAGTTGTAGACGATCTCAAACGGGGTCTTGTGCACGACTTTAGGTGACGGCAGTCGATTCTTGACGTAGATGGCCGTCATCGCTGCTTCGGCCCAGAAACACTTGTCCAGTTTGGCATGATGAAGCATGCTTCGGCCGATCGTGACAATAGTCCTAATGGCACGCTCTGCTGTTCCGTTTGTTTGATGTGCATACGGCACCGTTGTCTGCTGTTCAATGCCTTCGTCTTCGTAGAACAGTTGAAGCGAGTTGGTTGCAAACTCGCGAGCTCCGTCGTGTCGCACGAACTTGACCTTCTTACAGAATTGCGTCTGTACCATGGTGATATATTTCCGGATGTAGTCTTCACTCTCGGACTTCACTCGTAGACAAAAGCCCTTCATGCATCCACTGGCTTCGTCGATGATCAGCAGCAAATATTTGCTGCCACCAAGCGAATCCTTTTCCATGGGCCCGCAGATGTCCAGATGAAGTAGCTCAAACGTATCGTAGCTGCGCTTGTCTCGGTTGCTTGGAAATGGTTTTTGGACCATTTTCCCTTGTTGACATCCTCGACATGTAGTTGCTCCACCCGACTTGAGAGGGACTCGCACATCCTTGATCATGTTGGTCGCGATCATCTTGCGAAGTACATCGACTGGAGCATGACCCATTCTCGCATGTAGATCGGCACAACTGGTTCCACTTGTTGTCACATTCGCTGATCGTTGAGTCGTCCGAAGCCAGTAGAGTCCATCCACGAGATCCGCTGTCGCCACCACTTGCTGTGAGTTCTTGAGAGTCACATACATCTTGGACCCGTCAAACACGACTTGAAACTTGCCATGGCTGTTAATCTGTGGCACCGAGAGCAGGTTCTTGCTCATACTTGGAACATATAGCGCGTTCTTGATTTCGATCTCACGCTCTTCACCGTTGGGCAGAACCACCTTTTCCATGATGGTTCCCACACCCTTGATGGCCACCTTGTTGCCATCAGCCACCAAGAGTTCGCCCTCATTGCGCTCTGCCAAACTTGCGAACTTGGTCTTGTCGTGGCAAATGTGGTGCGTTGCACCACTGTCGACGGCCCACATTCCAGACACGTCCTTGCTCGTCGAAACTCCACATTCGAACGAGACTGCAAACGCCACTCGATCGTAGCCATTGCCTTCATCATGATGTCCCCACTGGACATTGTTAGCCCCGCGTCCACGACCATTGCCGCCGCGTCGGGCTCCCCGACCTTCGTTCTTCTGCTTTGTCCAGCAACGATCCACCGTGTGTCCCACCTTGCCACAATACGTGCATTGGTAGGGCTCACGCTCGGCGCTGAATGCCTTGCTTGCATCTTCAGCCTTCACCGTAGTCGCTGTCGTTGTCCCTTTTTCTCCTTGACGCTTGGCATGCTCATTCGTCAGGACTCTCACCACATCTTGAGTGCGAAGCTCGGTGCTGCTCATTTCCATGTTGAGCACCACATTTTCGTAGCTCTTCGGAAGACTGAGTAGCAGACAAATTGCAACGTCTTCGTCTTCCATCTTCGCACCGATGCCGCTAAGCTTGGCGGAGATGTTGAGGACCTCGTTGCAGTGATGCATGACGTTCGCGCCTTCAGCCATCTTGATACTGAAAAGTTGTCGCTTGAGGTAGATGCGTCCTGCCTTCTGCGACCCACCGTACAGCGTCTTCAGACTTGTCCACGCAACCCAGGCTTCCTCGCAGTTGTCCAGCACATGATGGTAGTCCGCGTTCATGTGCAGCAGCATCATACCAAACGCGACGTTGCTTGCCTTGACGTAGTCATCGGACGCTCGCGGGTCGGTGAAAGTCGGAGTCACTTCACGGTTGACAACGTGCCAGACGGACTTCGTCAAAAACACACCGCGCATGTACCGGCTCCACGTTGCGTAATTGTCTCCGTTGAACTTGTCAATGGAGGCGTTGCTGGTGGACGACATGGCGCTTGGGCTCATAACCTGTTGCATTGTATATCGGAGCGAGGAAAGCGGAGCGAACGGAGCGGAGAGACCGAAGAGAGTAGAGCAGAAAACACTTGCCCAATAGTTGGAAGATTCGAAAGTGATTGATTATCGGGGCTTACTACTTACTACATGATTTATATGTGGTGTACATATAAATCATGTGAAGCGTCTCATCATCCTACGCGTCTAATCAACTATGGTAATTACCGTAAGAACTACGTCGTAAATACTAAGCTGAAAAGGCGGTTCGGATTGGATCGGTCACGGTTACCAATACTGGTAGAAAACCGATGACCGTCAACACGTCTCGTTCCACACTCGCGACGCTTGCTTGAGGCCGTAAATTGACTTCACCAATTCCAGGCAGTCGAACGTACTGTCAAGTTCGACGCCTTCAGGAATCACGCAGAACACTTGTTCCTTCATGACGCCATACAGGAAAGCTGTCACCACATCAAGCTGGTCGATGGGCCATCCAAAATGCTTGGAAATTGCGATCACCATTCGCAGCGTCACATACTTGACCACAGGCGAAAACGTCTCCGTGTAGTCGATGCCATACTTTTGGCGGAAACCCTTGGCCACAAGTCGTGCCTTGTACTTCTCGATTGACCCATCCGCCTTGCGCTTGATCTTGAACACCCATTTTGTGCCAATGGCGCGTTGTCCGTTGGGCAGCTTGGCTGCACAAAACACACCGCGAAGTCGCATTGACTCGAGCTCTGCATGAATTGCTTTTCTCCAGTGCACTTGGTCAGGGCCGCTTACTGCTGCTTCAAATGTTGAGGGTTCTGATAAGTCCACTGCTGCTTCAACGGCATTTGCACTCGCACGCCAAAACACAGGCGGTGTTGAATCACCAGAATCCTTCGTTTCTTCGTCTTCTTCTTGTCGTGACGAGTTGTTTTCCGGCGCGCTTGACTCTTCTAGTCCTGGTCGTTGACGCACTGCACGCGGTCGTGGAGCTGCTGTATCTTCATCATTGAGTCGGTTCTTGCGCTTGCCTGTTTGCTTGTACTCCATTTGACGCAGCTCTTCGTCATCAAGATCCAGCAATTCGAAGTCCAGGTCATCGACATCTTCATCAGTGATCGGCAGTTGAAGTCCAAAGGTGGACTCGTCGAAGTTGACATCGCGGCTGATAACCACCTGCCCCGCCTCGATGTCATAAACACGATATGCCTTCGAAACTTCTTCGTAGCCCACGAATATGCCAGCGCGAGCCTTTGGATCCCACTTGAGTCGATTCTCTTTAGGCGTCAGTATGTATGTCTGACACCCGAATGTTCGCATGTGCTTGACGCTTGGTTTCAAGTTGTAGACGATCTCAAACGGGGTCTTGTGCACGACTTTAGGTGACGGCAGTCGATTCTTGACGTAGATGGCCGTCATCGCTGCTTCGGCCCAGAAACACTTGTCCAGTTTGGCATGATGAAGCATGCTTCGGCCTATCGTGACAATAGTCCTAATGGCACGCTCTGCTGTTCCGTTTGTTTGATGTGCATACGGCACCGTTGTCTGCTGTTCAATGCCTTCGTCTTCGTAGAACAGTTGAAGCGAGTTGGTTGCAAACTCGCGAGCTCCGTCGTGTCGCACGAACTTGACCTTCTTACAGAATTGCGTCTGTACCATGGTGATATATTTCCGGATGTAGTCTTCACTCTCGGACTTCACTCGTAGACAAAAGCCCTTCATGCATCCACTGGCTTCGTCGATGATCAGCAGCAAATATTTGCTGCCACCGAGCGAATCCTTTTCCATGGGCCCGCAGATGTCCAGATGAAGTAGCTCAAACGTATCGTAGCTGCGCTTGTCTCGGTTGCTTGGAAATGGTTTTTGGACCATTTTCCCTTGTTGACATCCTCGACATGTAGTTGCTCCACCCGACTTGAGAGGGACTCGCACATCCTTGATCATGTTGGTCGCGATCATCTTGCGAAGTACATCGACTGGAGCATGACCCATTCTCGCATGTAGATCGGCACAACTGGTTCCACTTGTTGTCACATTCGCTGATCGTTGAGTCGTCCGAAGCCAGTAGAGTCCATCCACGAGATCCGCTGTCGCCACCACTTGCTGTGAGTTCTTGAGAGTCACATACATCTTGGACCCGTCAAACACGACTTGAAACTTGCCATGGCTGTTAATCTGTGGCACCGAGAGCAGGTTCTTGCTCATACTTGGAACATATAGCGCGTTCTTGATTTCGATCTCACGCTCTTCACCGTTGGGCAGAACCACCTTTTCCATGATGGTTCCCACACCCTTGATGGCCACCTTGTTGCCATCAGCCACCAAGAGTTCGCCCTCATTGCGCTCTGCCAAACTTGCGAACTTGGTCTTGTCGTGGCAAATGTGGTGCGTTGCACCACTGTCGACGGCCCACATTCCAGACACGTCCTTGCTCGTCGAAACTCCACATTCGAACGAGACTGCAAACGCCACTCGATCGTAGCCATTGCCTTCATCATGATGTCCCCACTGGACATTGTTAGCCCCGCTTCCACGACCATTGCCGCCGCGTCGGGCTCCCCGACCTTCGTTCTTCTGCTTTGTCCAGCAACGATCCACCGTGTGTCCCACCTTGCCACAATACGTGCATTGGTAGGGCTCACGCTCGGCGCTGAATGCCTTGCTTGCATCTTCAGCCTTCACCGTAGTCGCTGTCGTTGTCCCTTTTTCTCCTTGACGCTTGGCATGCTCATTCGTCAGGACTCTCACCACATCTTGAGTGCGAAGCTCGGTGCTGCTCATTTCCATGTTGAGCACCACATTTTCGTAGCTCTTCGGAAGACTGAGTAGCAGACAAATTGCAACGTCTTCGTCTTCCATCTTCGCACCGATGCCGCTAAGCTTGGCGGAGATGTTGAGGACCTCGTTGCAGTGATGCATGACATTCGCGCCTTCAGCCATCTTGATACTGAAAAGTTGTCGCTTGAGGTAGATGCGTCCTGCCTTCTGCGACCCACCGTACAGCGTCTTCAGACTTGTCCACGCAACCCAGGCTTCCTCGCAGTTGTCCAGCACATGATGGTAGTCCGCGTTCATGTGCAGCAGCATCATACCAAACGCGACGTTGCTTGCCTTGACGTAGTCATCGGACGCTCGCGGGTCGGTGAAAGTCGGAGTCACTTCACGGTTGACAACGTGCCAGACGGACTTCGTCAAAAACACACCGCGCATGTACCGACTCCACGTTGCGTAATTGTCTCCGTTGAACTTGTCGATGGAGGCGTTGCTGGTGGACGACATGGCGCTTGGGCTCATAACCTGTTGCATTGTAGATCGGAGCGAGGAAAGCGGAGCAAACGGAGCGGAGAGACCGAAGAGAGTAGAGCAGAAAACACTTGCCCAATAGTTGGAAGATTCGAAAGTGATTGATTATCGGGACTTACTACTTACTACATGATTTATATGTGGTGTACATATAAATCATGTGAAGCGTCTCATCATCCTACGCGTCTAATCAACTATGGTAATTACCGTAAGAACTACGTCGTAAATACTAAGCTGAACAGGCGGTTCGGATTGGATCGGTCACGGTTACCAATACTGGTAGAAAACCGATGACCGTCAACAACTACACGGAGACGTTTTCGCCTGTGGTCAAGTATGTGACGCTGCGAATGGTGATCGCAATTTCCAAGCATTTTGGATGGCCCATCGACCAGCTTGATGTGGTGACAGCTTTCCTGTATGGCGTCATGAAGGAACAAGTGTTCTGCGTGATTCCTGAAGGCGTCGAACTTGACAGTACGTTCGACTGCCTGGAATTGGTGAAGTCAATTTACGGCCTCAAGCAAGCGTCGCGAGTGTGGAACGAGACGTTCGACGAGTATGTGTGCTCCATCGGATTTCAAGTATCGGACTTCGACCCATGTCTCTACATCAAGACTTCGGACGGCCATTGCGTGTTTATACTGGTCTACGTGGACGACGTCTTGGTGACTGGAAGCTCGCTCGAGCTGATTGCACAAACCAAGAACGACCTGAAGACGCGGTTCGAAATGACGGACAGCGGCAAGTGTGTTGTAACTTGAGCGCGAGGGGAAGAGAAAACGAAGCGGAGAGACCGGAGAGAACGAAGCAGAGAACACTTGCTCACTTGAGGGAGGATTCGAAAGTGATTGATTTATAGGTCTTAACTTCTGCCTACCCTAGACTGCATCCAATCACATGGTGCATCTAATCAACCTGATTTACACGCGTCCAATCATCCTACGCGTCTAATCATCTCTGAGGTAATTACCGATGTAAAAACTATCTCGTAAGAACTACGCGCTAGGTTCGGATTGTACCGGTTACCCTCAATACCCCCCCCTCTCAATGCAAACACGTGCGGATGCCAAGTGCCTGTGTCAGGTTCTTGTGACGCGGTCCGTGAAGTGCCTTGGTCATGATGCCTGCTTACATCACCGTAGTCTTACAGTACTTGAGCTTGACTTGGCCGCGCTAGACCTCATCACGGATGTGATGGTACTTGATGTCGATGTGTTTAGCGCGGCCGTGGTTGACCGGATTCTTCGTCATCTTGATGCACGACTGGTTGTCTTCACGGATGACGAGCTCGGGTCCTTCTTCGTTTGCAGCCGCCATGATCTCGCACAGCAAGCGATTGATCCACTTGCCTTCTTGGATCGCCAGGCTGAGCGCGATGTACTCCGCTTCGCTTGTAGACAGTGACACACTTGGCTGTTTCTTGCTGCCCCAACTCACCGGAGCACCCAATAGCATGAAGACGTAGCCGGACGTCGATTTGCGATCAGCAAGGTCACCGGCCCAGTCTGCATCTGAATAGCCACGAAAGTCGATCTTCGCACTTGGCTTGTAGCAGATTCCATGCATCTTGGTGCCTTGTAGGTAGCGGAAGATGCGCTTGACTGCAACCCAGTGTTCTTCTTGGGGTTTCTCCATGAACCGTGACACAAAGCTTACAGCATAGGCGATGTCCGGTCGCGTTGCAGTCGTCAGATGCATCAAAGCACCCACTGCTTCACGGAATGGGACATCCACCTTGCTTGCAGAGTTGCTCCGGAACCAGTCGAGAGCTGACGTCCACCGGACTTGCCAAAGCCTTGCACTCATCCATTCCAAAGCGCTTGAGGACATCGTCGACATAACGACGCTGACACATAGTCACGCTGCCATCTTCACCGTCCAATAACTCGATCCCAAGAACAAATGCACACTTGCCGCTATCAATCATCTCGAAGCGTGTCTTGAGGTCGTTCTTGGTGCGCGCAATCATCTCGAGCGAGCTTCCAGTCACCAAGACATCGTCCACGTAGACCAGCACAAAAACACAATGGCCTTCCGAAGTCATGATGTAGAGACATGGATCGAATCCCGACGCTTGAAAACCAATCGAGCGTATGAACTCGTCGAAGGTCTCGTTCCAAACACGCGAGGCTTGCTTGAGACCGTAGATCGCCTTGATCAGCTCGAGACAGTCAAAATCACCTTCCATCTTGACGCCTTCCGGAACAGCGCAGAACACCTTCTCCTTCATCACTCCATACAGGAACGCAGTCACCACATCGAGCTGGTCGAGGGGCCATCCAAAGTGCTTGGTAATGGCGATGACCATTCGCAGCGTCACATACTTGACCACGGGCGAGAACGTCTCCGTGTAGTCGATGCCATACTTTTGGCGGAAACCCTTGGCCACAAGTCGTGCCTTGTATTTCTCGATCGACCCATCCGCCTTGCGCTTGATCTTGAAGACCCACTTTGTGCCAACGGCGCTTTGTCCGTTGGGTAACTTGGCCGCACGAAAGACACCGCGAAGCTTCATCGAATCGAGCTCCGCATCAATTGCCTTGCGCCAGTGTACTTGGTCCGGGCCAGACACTGCTTCTTCAAATGTCGACGGCTCCGAAAAATCGACCGCTGCTTCGACGGCGTTTGCACTCGCATGCCAAAACGCGGAGGAAGTCGGTGTGTCATGTTGTTCCTCCGACTTCCTTTCTTCATCTTCGTTGGCTCGACGTGAAGAGAGGTCATCCGGCGCACTTGACTCTTCCAATCCGGGTCGTTGGCGCACTGCTCGGGGCATGCTTGCGTCGTCATTGTCGTGACTGGGTTGGGCCTTGCGCTTTCCTGTTTGTTTGAAGTGTCTCGGACGCGGTTCTTCATCATCAAGATCGATCGATTCGAAGTCCAGGCCATCAACATCGTCATCGGAAATCAGCATCGACATTCCAAAGGCCGACTCATCGAATTTGACATCGCGACTTATCATCACCTGCCCCGCTTCGATGTCGTAAACTCGATACGCCTTGGACACTTCTTCGTAGCCCAAAAACAATCCAGCCCGGGCCTTGGGATCCCACTTGAGTCGTTTCTCCTTCGGGGTCAAGATGTATGCTTGGCACCCAAAAACGCGCATGTGCTTGACACTTGGCTTAGAATTGTAGACAATCTCGAACGGTGTCTTGTGTGGAATCTTGGGTGACGGCAAACGGTTCTTCACATAGACGGCCGTCATTGCCGCTTCAGCCCAGAAGCACTTGTCCAACTTGGCATGATGGAGCATGCTACGACCGATGGTGACGATAGTTCGAATCGCGCGTTCAGCAGTTCCATTGGCTTGATGTGCGTATGGCACCGTGGTTTGTTGCTCGATGCCTTCGACTTCGTAGAAATCTTGAAGCGAGTTCGTCGCAAACTCGCGGGCTCCATCGTGTCGCACAAATTTGACCTTCCTGTTGAACTGCGTCTGTATCATCGTGATGTACTTCTTGATGCACTCTTCGCTCTCTGACTTGGAATGCAGACAAAAACCCTTCATGCATCCGCTGGCTTCATCCACGATCAGCAGCAGATACTTGCTGCCACCCAGAGATTTTTCTTCCATGGGTCCGCAGATGTCGAAGTGGAGCATCTCGAAGGTGTTGTAGGTGCGCTTGTCACTGTTGCTCGGGAATGGTTTTTGGACCATCTTCCCTTCTTGGCATCCTCGACACACACTTGATCCATTCGGCTTGGAAGGGATGTGAGCGTCCTTGATCATGTGGCTTGTCACCATCCTGCGAAGCACGTCGACTGGAGCATGGCCCATTCGCGCATGTAGATCAACAGCGTTGCTGAGTGATGTCGCATTGGCCGATCGCTGCGTCGTGCGAAGCCAGTAGAGTCCGTCTACAAGATCCGCAGCTGCCACCATTTGATTGGAATCCTTGCGAGCGACGTACATCGTATCCCCGTCAAACACCACTTGGAAGTTGCCGTGCTTGTTAATCTGCGGCACCGAGAGCAGATTTTTGCTCATGCTGGGCACATAGAGCGTGTTCTTGATCTCGATCTCGCGCTCTTCCCCGTTTGGCAGAATCACCTTTTCCACGATGGTCCCCACACCTTTGATGGCCGCCTTGTTGCCATCAGCCACCAGGATCTCGCCATCATTGCCTTCGACCAAGCTTGCAAACTTGAACTTGTCGTGGCAGATGTGATGTGTTGCCCCGCTGTCAACGGCCCACATTCCTGGTCCATTCTTGTTCGTCGAAACTCCGCATTCGAACGAAACTGCAAACGCCACTCGATCGTAGCTGTTGCCTTCATCATAATGTCGCCACTGGACATTGTTTGCCCCGCGTCCACGACCATTGCCGCCGCGTTGGGCTCCTCGACTTTCATCCTTTTGCTTCGTCCAGCAACGCTCTGCCGTGTGCCCCACCTTGCCGCAGTATGTGCATTGGTAGGGCTTGCGCTCGGTACTGAATGCCTTTGTCGCATCTTCAGTCTTCACCGTTGTCGTTGCCGTTGTCATCTTCTCGCCTTGTCGCTTGATGTGCTCGTTAGTCAGCACCTTGACCACATCTTGCGTGCGCAGCTCTGCATTGCTCATCTCCAAGTTCAGAACCACGTTCTCGAAACTCTTCGGGAGACTGAGCAGCAAGCAGATCGCAATGTCTTCGTCTTCCATCTTGGCACCGATGCTGCTGAGCTTGGCGCCGATGTTCAAGACTTCGTTGCAATGGTGCAAGACGTTGGCACCTTCCGCCATCTTGATGCTGAACAGCTGGCGCTTGAGGTAGATGCGTCCCGCCTTCTGCGACCCACCATAGAGCATCTTCAACCGCGACCACGCTGTCCATGCTTCTTCACAGTTGTCGACCACATGGTGGTAGTCGGCGTCCATGTGGAGCAACATCAACCCGAACGCGATGTTGCTCGCCTTGACGTACTCGTCGGAAGCTCGCGTGTCGGTGAAGGTTGGAGACGTTTCGCGGTTCACGACGTACCAGACTGACTTCGTCAGAAACACGCCGCGCATGTAGCAACACCAGGTTGAGTAGTTGTCCCCATCGAACTTATCGATGGAAACACTGGCCGAGGTGTTGTTGGATGACATGGCGCTTGGGCTCATAACCTGTTGTAACTTGAGCGCGAGGCGAAGAGAAAACGAAGCGGAGAGACCGGAGAGAACGAAGCAGAGAACACTTGCTCACTTGAGGGAGGATTCGAAAGTGATTGATTAATAGGTCTTAACTTCTGCCTACCCTAGACTGCATCCAATCACATGGTGCATCTAATCAACCTGATTTACACGCGTCCAATCATCCTACGCGTCTAATCATCTCTGAGGTAATTACCGATGTAAAAACTATCTCGTAAGAACTACGCGCTAGGTTCGGATTGTACCGGTAACCCTCAATAAAGTGTGCGTTTGTTCTTGGGATCGAGCTTTTGGACGGTGATGTTGCATTGTAGATCGGAGCGAGGAAAGCGGAGCAAACGGAGCGGAGAGACCGAAGAGAGTAGAGCAGAAAACACTTGCCCAATAGTTGGAAGATTCGAAAGTGATTGATTATCGGGGCTTACTACTTACTACATGATTTATATGTGGTGTACATATAAATCATGTGAAGCGTCTCATCATCCTACGCGTCTAATCAACTATGGTAATTACCGTAAGAACTACGTCGTAAATACTAAGCTGAACAGGCGGTTCGGATTGGATCGGTCACGGTTACCAATACTGGTAGAAAACCGATGACCGTCAACACGCCCCCTCAATCCGAATGCTCACGAATCCCGAGAGTCGCCGTCATCTCCTTGTGGCGTGGCCCGTGAAGTCCCTTCGTCATGATGTCCGCTAACATCACCGCAGTTTCACAGTACTTGAGCTTCACTTCACCGCGCTTGACCTCATCACGGATGTGATGGTACTTGATATCAATGTGCTTGGCACGGCCGTGGTTGACTGGGTTCTTCGTCATCTTGATACACGACTGATTGTCTTCATGGATCATGAGTTCCGGTCCTTCTTCATTGGCAGCCATCACGATCTCACAAAGCAGACGATGAATCCACTTGCCCTCTTGAATCGCCAAGCTGAGTGCGATGTATTCGGCTTCACTCGTGGACAACGAAACACTTGGCTGCTTCTTGCTGCCCCAACTGACTGGCGCACCGAGTAGCATGAACGTGTACCCCGATGTTGACTTGCGGTCGGTAAGATCACCAGCCCAATCCGCATCCGAATATCCACGGAAGTCGATCCTTGCACTTGGCTTGTAGCAAATTCCATGCGTCTTAGTGCCTTGTAGGTAGCGAAAGATACGCTTAACTGCAACCCAGTGTTCTTCTTGGGGATTTTCCATGAACCGCGACACATAGCCCACAGCAAACGCAATGTCCGGACGCGTTGCAGTGGTCAGGTGCATCAACGCACCAACAGCTTCGCGAAAAGGAGCATCGACCTTGGTAGTTGCATCACTTGAAACAAGTCGAGAGCTCATGTCGACTGGACTTGCGACTGCCTTGCAATCATCCATGCCAAAGCGCTTGAGGATATCATCGACATACCGACGCTGACATAGTGTCACACTGCCATCTTCACCTGTTGACGGTCATCGGTTTTCTACCAGTATTGGTAACCGTGACCGATCCAATCCGAACCGCCTGTTCAGCTTAGTATTTACGACGTAGTTCTTACGGTAATTACCATAGTTGATTAGACGCGTAGGATGATGAGACGCTTCACATGATTTATATGTACACCACATATAAATCATGTAGTAAGTAGTAAGTCCCGATAATCAATCACTTTCGAATCTTCCAACTATTGGGCAAGTGTTTTCTGCTCTACTCTCTTCGGTCTCTCCGCTCCGTTTGCTCCGCTTTCCTCGCTCCGATCTACAATGCAACAGGTTATGAGCCCAAGCGCCATGTCGTCCACCAGCAACGCCTCCATTGACAAGTTCAACGGAGACAATTACGCAACGTGGAGCCGGTACATGCGCGGTGTGTTTTTGACGAAGTCCGTCTGGCACGTTGTCAACCGTGAAGTGACTCCGACTTTCACCGACCCGCGAGCGTCCGATGACTACGTCAAGGCAAGCAACGTCGCGTTTGGTATGATGCTGCTGCACATGAACGCGGACTACCATCATGTGCTGGACAACTGCGAGGAAGCCTGGGTTGCGTGGACAAGTCTGAAGACGCTGTACGGTGGGTCGCAGAAGGCAGGACGCATCTACCTCAAGCGACAACTTTTCAGTATCAAGATGGCTGAAGGCGCGAACGTCATGCATCACTGCAACGAGGTCCTCAACATCTCCGCCAAGCTTAGCGGCATCGGTGCGAAGATGGAAGACGAAGACGTTGCAATTTGTCTGCTACTCAGTCTTCCGAAGAGCTACGAAAACGTGGTGCTCAACATGGAAATGAGCAGCACCGAGCTTCGCACTCAAGATGTGGTGAGAGTCCTGACGAATGAGCATGCCAAGCGTCAAGGAGAAAAAGGGACAACGACAGCGACTACGGTGAAGGCTGAAGATGCAAGCAAGGCATTCAGCGCCGAGCGTGAGCCCTACCAATGCACGTATTGTGGCAAGGTGGGACACACGGTGGATCGTTGCTGGACAAAGCAGAAGAACGAAGGTCGGGGAGCCCGACGCGGCGGCAATGGTCGTGGACGCGGGGGCTAACAATGTCCAGTGGGGACATCATGATGAAGGCAATGGCTACGATCGAGTGGCGTTTGCAGTCTCGTTCGAATGTGGAGTTTCGACGAGCAAGGACGTGTCTGGAATGTGGGCCGTCGACAGTGGTGCAACGCACCACATTTGCCACGACAAGACCAAGTTCGCAAGTTTGGCAGAGCGCAATGAGGGCGAACTCTTGGTGGCTGATGGCAACAAGGTGGCCATCAAGGGTGTGGGAACCATCATGGAAAAGGTGGTTCTGCCCAACGGTGAAGAGCGTGAGATCGAAATCAAGAACGCGCTATATGTTCCAAGTATGAGCAAGAACCTGCTCTCGGTGCCACAGATTAACAGCCATGGCAACTTTCAAGTCGTGTTTGACGGGTCCAAGATGTATGTGACTCTCAAGAACTCACAGCAAGTGGTGGCGACAGCGGACCTCGTGGATGGACTCTACTGGCTTCGGACGACTCAACGATCAGCGAATGTGACAACAAGTGGAACCAGTTGTGCCGATCTACATGCGAGAATGGGTCATGCTCCAGTCGATGTACTTCGCAAGATGATCGCGACCAACATGATCAAGGATGTGCGAGTCCCTCTCAAGTCGGGTGGAGCAACTACATGTCGAGGATGTCAACAAGGGAAAATGGTCCAAAAACCATTTCCAAGCAACCGAGACAAGCGCAGCTACGATACGTTTGAGCTACTTCATCTGGACATCTGCGGGCCCATGGAAAAGGATTCGCTCGGTGGCAGCAAATATTTGCTGCTGATCATCGACGAAGCCAGTGGATGCATGAAGGGCTTTTGTCTACGAGTGAAGTCCGAGAGTGAAGACTACATCCGGAAATATATCACCATGGTACAGACGCAATTCTGTAAGAAGGTCAAGTTCGTGCGACACGACGGAGCTCGCGAGTTTGCAACCAACTCGCTTCAACTGTTCTACGAAGACGAAGGCATTGAACAGCAGACAACGGTGCCGTATGCACATCAAACAAACGGAACAGCAGAGCGTGCCATTAGGACTATTGTCACGATCGGCCGCAGCATGCTTCATCATGCCAAACTGGACAAGTGTTTCTGGGCCGAAGCAGCGATGACGGCCATCTACGTCAAGAATCGACTGCCGTCACCTAAAGTCGTGCACAAGACCCCGTTTGAGATCGTCTACAACTTGAAACCAAGCGTCAAGCACATGCGAACATTCGGGTGTCAGACATACATACTGACGCCTAAAGAGAATCGACTCAAGTGGGATCCAAAGGCTCGCGCTGGCATATTCGTGGGCTACGAAGAAGTTTCGAAGGCATATCGTGTTTATGACATCGAGGCGGGGCAGGTGGTTATCAGCCGCGATGTCAACTTCGACGAGTCCACCTTTGGACTTCAACTGCCGATCACTGATGAAGATGTCGATGACCTGGACTTCGAATTGCTGGATCTTGATGACGAAGAGCTGCGTCAAATGGAGTACAAGCAAACAGGCAAGCGCAAGAACCGACTCAATGATGAAGATACAGCAGCTCCACGACCGCGTGCAGTGCGTCAACGACCAGGACTAGAAGAGTCAAGCGCGCCGGAAAACAACTCGTCACGACAAGAAGAAGACGAAGAAACGAAGGATTCTGGTGATTCAACACCGCCTGTGTTTTGGCGTGCGAGTGCAAATGCCGTTGAAGCAGCAGTGGACTTATCAGAACCCTCAACATTTGAAGCAGCAGTAAGCGGCCCTGACCAAGTGCACTGGAGAAAAGCAATTCATGCAGAGCTCGAGTCAATGCGACTTCGCGGTGTGTTTCGTGCAGCCAAGCTGCCCAACGGACAACGCGCCATTGGCACAAAATGGGTGTTCAAGATCAAGCGCAAGGCGGATGGGTCAATCGAGAAGTACAAGGCACGACTTGTGGCCAAGGGTTTCCGCCAAAAGTATGGCATCGACTACACGGAGACGTTTTCGCCTGTGGTCAAGTATGTGACGCTGCGAATGGTGATCGCAATTTCCAAGCATTTTGGATGGCCCATCGACCAGCTTGATGTGGTGACAGCTTTCCTGTATGGCGTCATGAAGGAACAAGTGTTCTGTGTGATTCCTGAAGGCGTCGAACTTGACAGTACGTTCGACTGCCTGGAATTGGTGAAGTCAATTTACGGCCTCAAGCAAGCGTCGCGAGTGTGGAACGAGACGTTCGACGAGTATGTGTGCTCCATCGGATTTCAAGTATCGGACTTCGACCCATGTCTCTACATCAAGACTTCGGACGGCCATTGCGTGTTTATACTGGTCTACGTGGACGACGTCTTGGTGACTGGAAGCTCGCTCGAGCTGATTGCACAAACCAAGAACGACCTGAAGACGCGGTTCGAAATGACGGACAGCGGCAAGTGTGCGTTTGTTCTTGGGATCGAGCTTTTGGACGGTGATGTTGCATTGTAGATCGGAGCGAGGAAAGCGGAGCAAACGGAGCGGAGAGACCGAAGAGAGTAGAGCAGAAAACACTTGCCCAATAGTTGGAAGATTCGAAAGTGATTGATTATCGGGGCTTACTACTTACTACATGATTTATATGTGGTGTACATATAAATCATGTGAAGCGTCTCATCATCCTACGCGTCTAATCAACTATGGTAATTACCGTAAGAACTACGTCGTAAATACTAAGCTGAACAGGCGGTTCGGATTGGATCGGTCACGGTTACCAATACTGGTAGAAAACCGATGACCGTCAACACGCCCCCTCAATCCGAATGCTCACGAATCCCGAGAGTCGCCGTCATCTCCTTGTGGCGTGGCCCGTGAAGTCCCTTCGTCATGATGTCCGCTAACATCACCGCAGTTTCACAGTACTTGAGCTTCACTTCACCGCGCTTGACCTCATCACGGATGTGATGGTACTTGATATCAATGTGCTTGGCACGGCCGTGGTTGACTGGGTTCTTCGTCATCTTGATACACGACTGATTGTCTTCATGGATCATGAGTTCCGGTCCTTCTTCATTGGCAGCCATCACGATCTCACAAAGCAGACGATGAATCCACTTGCCCTCTTGAATCGCCAAGCTGAGTGCGATGTATTCGGCTTCACTCGTGGACAACGAAACACTTGGCTGCTTCTTGCTGCCCCAACTGACTGGCGCACCGAGTAGCATGAACGTGTACCCCGATGTTGACTTGCGGTCGGTAAGATCACCAGCCCAATCCGCATCCGAATATCCACGGAAGTCGATCCTTGCACTTGGCTTGTAGCAAATTCCATGCGTCTTGGTGCCTTGTAGGTAGCGAAAGATACGCTTAACTGCAACCCAGTGTTCTTCTTGGGGATTTTCCATGAACCGCGACACATAGCCCACAGCAAACGCAATGTCCGGACGCGTTGCAGTGGTCAGGTGCATCAACGCACCAACAGCTTCGCGAAAAGGAGCATCGACCTTGGTAGTTGCATCACTTGAAACAAGTCGAGAGCTCATGTCGACTGGACTTGCGACTGCCTTGCAATCATCCATGCCAAAGCGCTTGAGGATATCATCGACATACCTGTTGAAAAGACAGCGGCTGTGAAGAAGACACCTCGTCAAGCTGCGTCAAGTGTTGAAGCAAGTGGAAGACCAAGCTTCGCTATACCGGTGGGTACCGGTATGTACCAGTAAGGGCGAAGTCAGGAAATGACGTCACTGGATGACGTCATTGCATGACGTCAGTGGGTGACGTCAGTGGGTGACGTCACTGGATGACGTCACTGCGAATAATAGGCTTAGAGGTAGTATTCAAAGTTGCGAACTAAGTACCTATTATAAATATATATTTACTTTGCGTTTTGCACTCGGACCAAGAAGTCTAAAGTTCATCAGGTTATGAGCCCAAGTTCGTCAGACTCTGAAACCGCCAACAATTCAAGCTTAGCTGCCATGGACGCCTCCTCCCTCCGCATCTCCAAGTTCGATGGAACTAACTTCCACGCCTGGAAGTTCAAGATGCAGATGGTGCTGGAGGAACGGGACCTATGGGAGGTCGTCAGCGGTGAGATCAAGGCGGAACAGTGCGAGACTCAGTTGGACCAAGCGACGTACAAGAGGAAGTCAAGAAAGGCGATGGCAGTGATCTGTCTAGCCATGGAAGATTCCCAGCTACCGTTGGTCCGGTCGGCAAGTGGTGCATGCGACGCATGGTCAAGGTTGGAAGACCACTTCGAGAAGAAGAGTCTTGCCAACAAGCTGTTCTTGCGCCGTCGCTTCTTCACGACAATGATGGAAGAAGGCGACGATGTGCTCGAACACATCAACAAGCTCAAGACGCTGGCGGAACAGCTAGAAGCGGTGGGGGCTCCAGTCTGCGAGGACGATCTGGTGATCACACTCCTCGGCAGCCTGAGTGACTCGTATCAATTCTTGATCACAGCTTTGGAGTCGCGCTCAGACACTCTTAGCTGGGAGCTCGTGACGTCTCGACTGCTTCATGAAGAAATGAAGCGGAAGGAGCAAGGAAGTAAAGGTGATGAAGCTTCGCAAGGTCAAGCGTTCATCACAAGGGACAATCAGCGCAAAGGGCGACCAGTGAAGAAGTCCTGGCCGTGCCACAATTGCGGAAAGATTGGTCACTGGATGGCGGAGTGCCCCTCGCGCATCCAAGAAAACACGGAGAGACACCGGCCACAGCGTGCTCAAGACAGCGGCGACCGCTATCGATCACAACGTGCAAACGTCGCTCAAGAAGAAGACTCGGGCGACTACCTCTTTTCGATCGGTGAAACGACATCTGCGAAATCGAGCGACATCTGGCTGGTCGACTCCGGGGCGACGCAGCACATGACGTGCTCCAAGAAGTTCATGCGGAACTACAAGGGGTTTGACGCTGTGGATGTCCATCTCGCGGATGATGGAATCGTCCAAGCAATCGGCAGTGGGGACATTGTCATGTCGATGAAGACACCCCAAGGGATGAAGAAAGGTGTGCTCACAAACGTGTGGCACATCCCAAAAGTTATCCAGAAACCTGTTCTCGGTCGGCCGCTTCACCAAGGATGTCGGCCCAGTGACGTTCACGAAGGATGGGTGCTATGGAGAAGCGAAAGGGACCAAGTGGAAAATTGGTGCCCGTGAAGGTAAAGGACTGTTCAAGCTGCAAATGACTCCAGTGGCGCCGGAACAAGCAAATGCAGCCAAGTCGTCGGGATGTCAAGGGGGCACCAAGTCGTACCTCTGGCACCTTCGGCTTGGCCACATAGGTCACGATGGACTCAATTGCATCGTGACGAAGAACATTGGAATTGGCATCGACATATCTTCGGTGAAGAAGTGGGACGTGTGTGAAGGTTGTGCTCTGGGAAAACAGACTCGAGTGCGCTTCCAATCAAACACTACAGCTCGCACCTCCAAACTCCTCGAAGTGATTCACAGCGACGTATGCGGACCGATGTCGATGGCAACTTTCAGTGGAAAACGGTACTTCGTGACATTCATTGATGACAAGTCAAGATACTGTGTCGTCTATCTGCTCAAGAGCAAATCTGAAGTTGCGGCGAAGTTCATGGAATACGCTGCGATGGCCGAAACGCAAACCGGAAAGCGCGTGAAGTACCTTCAAAGCGACAATGGGGGTGAATACAAGTCCGACAAGCTGGCACAATTCTGCGCGGAACGGGGAATACAACAAAGGTTCACACCCCCATATATGTTGAAAAGACAGCGGCTGTGAAGCAGACACCTCGTCAAGCTGCGTCAAGTGTTGAAGCAAGTGGAAGACCAAGCTTCGCTATACCGGTGGGTACCGGTATGTACCAGTAAGGGCGAAGTCAGGAAATGACGTCACTGGATGACGTCATTGCATGACGTCAGTGGGTGACGTCAGTAGGTGACGTCACTGGATGACGTCACTGCGAATAATAGGCTTAGAGGTAGTATTCAAAGTTGCGAACTAAGTACCTATTATAAATATATATTCACTTTGCGTTTTGCACTCGGACCAAGAAGTCTAAAGTTCATCAGGTTATGAGCCCAAGTTCGTCAGACTCTGAAACCGCCAACAATTCAAGCTTAGCTGCCATGGACGCCTCCTCCCTCCGCATCTCCAAGTTCGATGGAACTAACTTCCACGCCTGGAAGTTCAAGATGCAGATGGTGCTGGAGGAACGGGACCTATGGGAGGTCGTCAGCGGTGAGATCAAGGCGGAACAGTGCGAGACTCAGTTGGACCAAGCGACGTACAAGAGGAAGTCAAGAAAGGCGATGGCAGTGATCTGTCTAGCCATGGAAGATTCCCAGCTACCGTTGGTCCGGTCGGCAAGTGGTGCATGCGACGCATGGTCAAGGTTGGAAGACCACTTCGAGAAGAAGAGTCTTGCCAACAAGCTGTTCTTGCGCCGTCGCTTCTTCACGACAATGATGGAAGAAGGCGACGATGTGCTCGAACACATCAACAAGCTCAAGACGCTGGCGGAACAGCTAGAAGCGGTGGGGGCTCCAGTCTGCGAGGACGATCTGGTGATCACACTCCTCGGCAGCCTGAGTGACTCGTATCAATTCTTGATCACAGCTTTGGAGTCGCGCTCAGACACTCTTAGCTGGGAGCTCGTGACGTCTCGACTGCTTCATGAAGAAATGAAGCGGAAGGAGCAAGGAAGTAAAGGTGATGAAGCTTCGCAAGGTCAAGCGTTCATCACAAGGGACAATCAGCGCAAAGGGCGACCAGTGAAGAAGTCCTGGCCGTGCCACAATTGCGGAAAGATTGGTCACTGGATGGCGGAGTGCCCCTCGCGCATCCAAGAAAACACGGAGAGACAACGGCCACAGCGTGCTCAAGACAGCGGCGACCGCTATCGATCACAACGTGCAAACGTCGCTCAAGAAGAAGACTCGGGCGACTACCTCTTTTCGATCGGTGAAACGACATCTGCGAAATCGAGCGACATCTGGCTGGTCGACTCCGGGGCGACGCAGCACATGACGTGCTCCAAGAAGTTCATGCGGAACTACAAGGGGTTTGACGCTGTGGATGTCCATCTCGCGGATGACGGAATCGTCCAAGCAATCGGCAGTGGGGACATTGTCATGTCGATGAAGACACCCCAAGGGATGAAGAAAGGTGTGCTCACAAACGTGTGGCACATCCCAAAGTTATCCAGAAACCTGTTCTCGGTCGGCCGCTTCACCAAGGATGTCGGCCCAGTGACGTTCACGAAGGATGGGTGCTATGGAGAAGCGAAAGGGACCAAGTGGAAAATTGGTGCCCGTGAAGGTAAAGGACTGTTCAAGCTGCAAATGACTCCAGTGGCGCCGGAACAAGCAAATGCAGCCAAGTCGTCGGGATGTCAAGGGGGCACCAAGTCGTACCTCTGGCACCTTCGGCTTGGCCACATAGGTCACGATGGACTCAATTGCATCGTGACGAAGAACATTGAATTGGCATCGACATATCTTCGGTGAAGAAGTGGGACGTGTGTGAAGGTTGTGCTCTGGGAAAACAGACTCGAGTGCGCTTCCAATCAAACACTACAGCTCGCACCTCCAAACTCCTCGAAGTGATTCACAGCGACGTATGCGGACCGATGTCGATGGCAACTTTCAGTGGAAAACGGTACTTCGTGACATTCATTGATGACAAGTCAAGATACTGTGTCGTCTATCTGCTCAAGAGCAAATCTGAAGTTGCGGCGAAGTTCATGGAATACGCTGCGATGGCCGAAACGCAAACCGGAAAGCGCGTGAAGTACCTTCAAAGCGACAATGGGGGTGAATACAAGTCCGACAAGCTGGCACGATTCTGCGCGGAACGGGGAATACAACAAAGGTTCACACCCCCATATACTCCTCAGCTAAACGGAGTAGCTGAGAGAATGAATCGCACGCTGGTCGAGTGTGCGCGTTGCATGATGGAACACGCTGGACTGGGAAAGAGCTACTGGGGTGAAGCAGTGATGACGGCGATGTTTCTTCGAAACCGCTGTCCAACACGTGCCATTCACCAAGACAAGTCTCCATATCAAGTGTGGACGATGAAGAAACCGATTCTGGCCAACCTTAAAGTGTTTGGATGCCACGCGTATGTTCAAGTGCCTCAAGACAAACGCGCGAAGTTCGACTCCAAGTCATCACTCTGTCGTTTCCTGGGATACGCCGAACACCAGAAGTCATATCGATTTGAGGAAGTGTCAACAGGAGCGATCAAGATCAGTCGCGATGCCACATTCATGGAAGACAAGTTTGATGAAGGTCCGCGCAACTACAACGATGAGTCAAGTGTCGTTGAGTTTGATGATCATGATGAGGACGAAGAAAAAAAGAAGAAGGTAAAACTGACGACGACATGGACTCGAGCGACGATGACAACGAAGACACCAGGTCTTCGAAGAGCAACATCAAGAGACACACGCGCACTCAATCACTTGAGAAAGCTACCGTCATTCCAAGTCCCAAGCGAAGAACATACAGAGGTCCGTCGCTTGAGCATGTGTCAGCGGCTGCAATGGATTTTGAAGCAGCCTACATCGTTGATTCAGCGGGGGAAATGCCGACTACGTTCAAGTCGGCTATGGAATCAAGCGACTCCGGCAAGTGGAAAGAAGCGTGTGACTCGGAGTTCGATTCGCTTCAGAGAAACGACACGTGGGAAATCGTGCCTCTTCCGAAAGGTCGCAAGGCCATCGGGTGCCGATGGGTTTTTCGTGTAAAGGAGAATCAAGATGGCGAAGTTGAACGTTTCAAGGCAAGACTTGTGGCCAAAGGATTCTCACAGAAATTCGGAGTTGACTATGAAGAAACTTTCGCACCGGTGGCCAAGTTCACATCGATTCGTGTGGTGCTCAGTATGGCGGCTAAGTACGGCCTAATGCTACATCAGATGGACGTCAAGACAGCGTTTCTTAACGGCTCCCTCAACGAAGACATCTACATGGACCAGCCGGACGGATACCTGGATGCAACACAGCCGGACTATGTGTGCAAGCTAAAGAGATCACTCTACGGCTTGAAGCAATCGCCTCGCATGTGGAACCAAACAATCGATGGGTTCATGATCAAGATGGGATTCAAGAAGTGCGAATCGGACCACTGCATCTACATCAAGCGAGACGACCAAGACATGATTCTCGTGGTGCTCTACGTCGATGATCTCATCCTGGCCAGCAGCAACAACGAACTCCTCAAGTCAACCAAGATGGCGCTGAGCAAACGCTTCGAAATGACGGATCTCGGTGAGCTCGATTACTTTCTCGGCATGGAGATCAAGAACGACCGTAAGACGGGAATGGTGACTGTACAACAAACCAAGTTCCTCAAGTCCGTGTTAACCAAGTTCGGAATGGATAACAGCAAGCCAGTGAAGACGCCTCAAGATCCCGGCCTGAAGCTAACCAAGAACATGTGTGAACAAGAATGCAAGCACGAAGACACCATGTGCAACGTGCCATATCGAAGTGCTGTCGGAGGCATCATGTATCTCATGGTCGCCACACGTCCGGATCTAGCTGCTGCAGTGGGATCATTATCCCAGTTCTCGTCCGACCCATGCCCGACTCACTGGCAAGCTTTGAAGCGTGTGCTGAGATACCTGCAAGCAACGCCCAATCATGGTCTTGAGTTTACACGTGAAGAAGGAAGCCGTATCTGCGGGTACACCGACGCAGACTGGGCCGGCGACATTGAGTCAAGACGAAGTACAAGCGGCTATGTGTTCATGATGAGCGGAGGATGCATCAGCTGGAAAAGCCAGAAACAACGGACGGTCGCGCTATCTTCAACAGAAGCAGAATACATGGCGCTTTCCGAAGCAACCAAAGAAGCAGTATGGCTCAAAGTGCTTTTGGGGAACTTGGTGAGATGACAAGCGACGAAGCGATCAAGATGTATGAAGACAACCAAGGATCAATCGCTCTCGCCAAGAACCCGGAGTTCCATAAGAGAACAAAACACATCGACATACGCTACCATTTTGTGCGTGAGAAGGTGGAATCAGGTGAAGTCGTTTTGGAGTATTGCCCGACTCAAGATATGCTGGCAGACATGATGACCAAGCCGATCGCCGCTGTACAATTTGAAAACATTCGCGATCGACTTGGGATCCATGGTGCCGCAGCTAACGAGTCGAGAGGGAGTGTTGAAAAGACAGCGGCTGTGAAGAAGACACCTCGTCAAGCTGCGTCAAGTGTTGAAGCAAGTGGAAGACCAAGCTTCGCTATACCGGTGGGTACCGGTATGTACCAGTAAGGGCGAAGTCAGGAAATGACGTCACTGGATGACGTCATTGCATGACGTCAGTGGGTGACGTCAGTGGGTGACGTCACTGGATGACGTCATTGCATGACGTCAGTGGGTGACGTCAGTGGGTGACGTCACTGGATGACGTCACTGCGAATAATAGGCTTAGAGGTAGTATTCAAAGTTGCGAACTAAGTACCTATTATAAATATATATTCACTTTGCGTTTTGCACTCGGACCAAGAAGTCTAAAGTTCATCAATATACTCCTCAGCTAAACGGAGTAGCTGAGAGAATGAATCGCACGCTGGTCGAGTGTGCGCGTTGCATGATGGAACACGCTGGACTGGGAAAGAGCTACTGGGGTGAAGCAGTGATGACGGCGATGTTTCTTCGAAACCGCTGTCCAACACGTGCCATTCACCAAGACAAGTCTCCATATCAAGTGTGGACGATGAAGAAACCGATTCTGGCCAACCTTAAAGTGTTTGGATGCCACGCGTATGTTCAAGTGCCTCAAGACAAACGCGCGAAGTTCGACTCCAAGTCATCACTCTGTCGTTTCCTGGGATACGCCGAACACCAGAAGTCATATCGATTTGAGGAAGTGTCAACAGGAGCGATCAAGATCAGTCGCGATGCCACATTCATGGAAGACAAGTTTGATGAAGGTCCGCGCAACTACAACGATGAGTCAAGTGTCGTTGAGTTTGATGATCATGATGAGGACGAAGAAAAAGAAGAAGGTAAAACTGACGACGACATGGACTCGAGCGACGATGACAACGAAGACACCAGGTCTTCGAAGAGCAACATCAAGAGACACACGCGCACTCAATCACTTGAGAAAGCTACCGTCATTCAAGTCCCAAGCGAAGAACATACAGAGGTCCGTCGCTTGAGCATGTGTCAGCGGCTGCAATGGATTTTGAAGCAGCCTACATCGTTGATTCAGTGGGGGAAACGCCGACTACATTCAAGTCGGCGATGGAATCAAGCGACTCCGGCAAGTGGAAAGAAGCGTGTGACTCGGAGTTCGATTCGCTTCAGAGAAACGACACGTGGGAAATCGTGCCTCTTCCGAAAGGTCGCAAGGCCATCGGGTGCCGATGGGTTTTTCGTGTAAAGGAGAATCAAGATGGCGAAGTTGAACGTTTCAAGGCAAGACTTGTGGCCAAAGGATTCTCACAGAAATTCGGAGTTGACTATGAAGAAACTTTCGCACCGGTGGCCAAGTTCACATCGATTCGTGTGTGGTGCTCAGTATGGCGGCTAAGTACGGCCTAATGCTACATCAGATGGACGTCAAGACAGCGTTTCTTAACGGCTCCCTCAACGAAGACATCTACATGGACCAGCCGGACGGATACCTGGATGCAACACAGCCGGACTATGTGTGCAAGCTAAAGAGATCACTCTACGGCTTGAAGCAATCGCCTCGCATGTGGAACCAAACAATCGATGGGTTCATGATCAAGATGGGATTCAAGAAGTGCGAATCGGACCACTGCATCTACATCAAGCGAGACGACCAAGACATGATTCTCGTGGTGCTCTACGTCGATGATCTCATCCTGGCCAGCAGCAACAACGAACTCCTCAAGTCGACCAAGATGGCGCTGAGCAAACGCTTCGAAATGACGGATCTCGGTGAGCTCGATTACTTTCTCGGCATGGAGATCAAGAACGACCGTAAGACGGGAATGGTGACTGTACAACAAACCAAGTTTCTCAAGTCCCGTGTTAACCAAGTTCGGAATGGATAACAGCAAGCCAGTGAAGACGCCTCAAGATCCCGGCCTGAAGCTAACCAAGAACATGTGTGAACAAGAATGCAAGCACGAAGACACCATGTGCAACGTGCCATATCGAAGTGCTGTCGGAGGCATCATGTATCTCATGGTCGCCACACGTCGGATCTAGCTGCTGCAGTGGGATCATTATCCCAGTTCTCGTCCGACCCATGCCCGACTCACTGGCAAGCTTTGAAGCGTGTGCTGAGATACCTGCAAGCAACGCCCAATCATGGTCTTGAGTTTACACGTGAAGAAGGAAGCCGTATCTGCGGGTACACCGACGCAGACTGGGCCGGCGACATTGAGTCAAGACGAAGTACAAGCGGCTATGTGTTCATGATGAGCGGAGGATGCATCAGCTGGAAAAGCCAGAAACAACGGACGGTCGCGCTATCTTCAACAGAAGCAGAATACATGGCGCTTTCCGAAGCAACCAAAGAAGCAGTATGGCTCAAAGTGCTTTTGGGGGAACTTGGTGAGATGACAAGCGACGAAGCCGATCAAGATGTATGAAGACAACCAAGGATCAATCGCTCTCGCCAAGAACCCGGAGTTCCATAAGAGAACAAAACACATCGACATACGCTACCATTTTGTGCGTGAGAAGGTGGAATCAGGTGAAGTCGTTTTGGAGTATTGCCCGACTCAAGATATGCTGGCAGACATGATGACCAAGCCGATCGCCGCTGTACAAAAAAATTTGAAAACATTCGCGATCGACTTGGGATCAAGGTGCCGCAGCTAACGAGTCGAGAGGAGTATTGAAAAGACAGAGGCTGTGAAGAAGACACCTCGTCAAGCTGCGTCAAGTGTTGAAGCAAGTGGAAGACCAAGCTTCGCTATACCGGTGGGTACCGGAATGTAGCCAGTAAGGGCGAAGTCAGGAAATGACGTCACTGGATGACGTCATTGCATGACGTCAGTGGGTGACGTCAGTGGGTGACGTCACTGGATGACGTCACTGCGAATAATAGGCTTAGAGGTAGTAGTCAAAGTTGCGAACTAAGTACCTATTATAAATATATATTTACTTTGCGTTTTGCACTCGGACCAAGAAGTCTAAAGTTCATCAATACCGACGCTGACATAGTGTCACACTGCCATCTTCACCGAATTCCAAAAGCTCGATCCCAAGAACAAACGCACACTTGCCGCTGTCCGTCATTTCGAACCGCGTCTTCAGGTCGTTCTTGGTTTGTGCAATCAGCTCGAGCGAGCTTCCAGTCACCAAGACGTCGTCCACGTAGACCAGTATAAACACGCAATGGCCCGTCCGAAGTCTTGATGTAGAGACATGGGTCAGAAGTCCGATACTTGAAATCCGATGGAGCACACATACTCGTCGAACGTCTCGTTCCACACTCGTGGCTTCTTGAGGCCGTAAATTGACTTCACCAATTCCAGGCAGTCGAACGTACTGTCAAGTTCGACGCCTTCAGGAATCACGCAGAACACTTGTTCCTTCATGACGCCATACAGGAAAGCTGTCACCACATCAAGCTGGTCGATGGGCCATCCAAAATGCTTGGAAATTGCGATCACCATTCGCAGCGTCACATACTTGACCACAGGCGAAAACGTCTCCGTGTAGTCGATGCCATACTTTTGGCGGAAACCCTTGGCCACAAGTCGTGCCTTGTACTTCTCGATAGATCCATCCGCTTTACGCTTGATCTTGAACACCCATTTTGTGCCAATGGCGCGTTGTCCGTTGGGCAGCTTGGCTGCACGAAACACACCGCGAAGTCGCATTGACTCGAGCTCTGCATGAATTGCTTTTCTCCAGTGCACTTGGTCAGGGCCGCTTACTGCTGCTTCAAATGTTGAGGGCTCTGATAAGTCCACTGCTGCTTCAACGGCATTTGCACTCGCACGCCAAAACACAGGCGGTGTTGAATCACCAGAATCCTTCTGTTTCTTCGTCTTCTTCTTGGCGTGACGAGTTGTTTTCCGGCGCGCTTGACTCTTCTAGTCCTGGTCGTTGACGCACTGCACGCGGTCGTGGAGCTGCTGTATCTTCATCATTGAGTCGGTTCTTGCGCTTGCCTGTTTGCTTGTACTCCCATTTGACGCAGCTCTTCGTCATCAAGATCCAGCAATTCGAAGTCCAGGTCATCGACATCTTCATCGGTGATCGGCAGTTGAAGTCCAAAGGTGGACTCGTCGAAGTTGACATCGCGGGCTGATAACCACCTGCCCCGCCTCGATGTCATAAACACGATATGCCTTCGAAACTTCTTCGTAGCCCACGAATATGCCAGCGCGAGCCTTTGGATCCCACTTGAGTCGATTCTCTTTAGGCGTCAGTATGTACGTCTGATATCCGAATGTTCGCATGTGCTTGACAGCTTGGTTTCAAGTTGTAGACGATCTCAAACGGGGGGTCTTGTGCACGACTTTTAGGTGACGGCAGTCGATTCTTGACGTAGATGGCCGTCATCGCTGCTTCGGCCCAGAAACACTTGTCCAGTTTGGCATGATGAAGCATGCTGCGGCCGATCGTGACAATAGTCCTAATGGCACGCTCTGCTGTTCCGTTTGTTTGATGTGCATACGGCACCGTTGTCTGCTGTTCAATGCCTTCGTCTTCGTAGAACAGCTGAAGCGAGTTGGTTGCAAACTCGCGAGCTCCGTCGTGTCGCACGAACTTGACCTTCTTACAGAATTGCGTCTGTACCATGGTGATATATTTCCGGATGTAGTCTTCACTCTCGGATTTCACTCGTAGACAAAATCCCTTCATGCATCCACTGGCTTCGTCGATGATCAGCAGCAAATATTTGCTGCCACCGAGCGAATCCTTTTCCATGGGCCCGCAGATGTCCAGATGAAGCTGTTGAAAAGACAGCGGCTGTGAAGAAGACACCTCGTCAAGCTGCGTCAAGTGTTGAAGCAAGTGGAAGACCAAGCTTCGCTATACCGGTGGGTACTGGTATGTACCAGTAAGGGCGAAGTCAGGAAATGACATCACTGGATGACGTCATTGCATGACGTCAGTGGGTGACGTCAGTGGGTGACGTCAGTGGATGACGTCACTGCGAATAATAGGCTTAGAGGTAGTATTCAAAGTTGCGAACTAAGTACCTATTATAAATATATATTCACTTTGCGTTTTGCACTCGGACCAAGAAGTCTAAAGTTCATCAGGTTATGAGCCCAAGTTCGTCAGACTCTGAAACCGCCAACAATTCAAGCTTAGCTGCCATGGACGCCTCCTCCCTCCGCATCTCCAAGTTCGATGGAACTAACTTCCACGCCTGGAAGTTCAAGATGCAGATGGTGCTGGAGGAACGGGACCTATGGGAGGTCGTCAGCGGTGAGATCAAGGCGGAACAGTGCGAGACTCAGTTGGACCAAGCGACGTACAAGAGGAAGTCAAGAAAGGCGATGGCAGTGATCTGTCTAGCCATGGAAGATTCCCAGCTACCGTTGGTCCGGTCGGCAAGTGGTGCATGCGACGCATGGTCAAGGTTGGAAGACCACTTCGAGAAGAAGAGTCTTGCCAACAAGCTGTTCTTGCGCCGTCGCTTCTTCACGACAATGATGGAAGAAGGCGACGATGTGCTCGAACACATCAACAAGCTCAAGACGCTGGCGGAACAGCTAGAAGCGGTGGGGGGCTCCAGTCTGCGAGGACGATCTGGTGATCACACTCCTCGGCAGCCTGAGTGACTCGTATCAATTCTTGATCACAGCTTTGGAGTCGCGCTCAGACACTCTTAGCTGGGAGCTCGTGACGTCTCGACTGCTTCATGAAGAAATGAAGCGGAAGGAGCAAGGAAGTAAAGGTGATGAAGCTTCGCAAGGTCAAGCGTTCATCACAAGGGACAATCAGCGCAAAGGGCGACCAGTGAAGAAGTCCTGGCCGTGCCACAATTGCGGAAAGATTGGTCACTGGATGGCGGAGTGCCCCTCGCGCATCCAAGAAAACACGGAGAGACACCGGCCACAGCGTGCCTCAAGACAGCGGCGACCGCTATCGATCACAACGTGCAAACGTCGCTCAAGAAGAAGACTCCGGGCGACTACCTCTTTTCGATCGGTGAAACGACATCTGCGAAATCGAGCGACATCTGGCTGGTCGACTCCGGGGCGACGCAGCACATGACGTGCTCCAAGAAGTTCATGCGGAACTACAAGGGGTTTGACGCTGTGGATGTCCATCTCGCGGATGATGGAATCGTCAAGCAATCGGCAGTGGGGACATTGTCATGTCGATGAAGACACCCCAAAGGGATGAAGAAAGGTGTGCTCACAAACGTGTGGCACATCCCAAAGTTATCCAGAAACCTGTTCTCGGTCGGCCGCTTCACCAAGGATGTCGGCCCAGTGACGTTCACGAAGGATGGGTGCTATGGAGAAGCGAAAGGGACCAAGTGGAAAATTGGTGCCCGTGAAGGTAAAGGACTGTTCAAGCTGCAAATGACTCCAGTGGCGCCGGAACAAGCAAATGCAGCCAAGTCGTCGGGATGTCAAGGGGCACCAAGTCGTACCTCTGGCACCTTCGGCTTGGCCACATAGGTCACGATGGACTCAATTGCATCGTGACGAAGAACATTGGAATTGGCATCGACATATCTTCGGTGAAGAAGTGGGACGTGTGTGAAGGTTGTGCTCTGGGGAAAACAGACTCGAGTGCGCTTCCAATCAAACACTACAGCTCGCACCTCCAAACTCCTCGAAGTGATTCACAGCGACGTATGCGGACCGATGTCGATGGCAACTTTCAGTGGAAAACGGTACTTCGTGACATTCATTGATGACAAGTCAAGATACTGTGTCGTCTATCTGCTCAAGAGCAAATCTGAAGTTGCGGCGAAGTTCATGGAATACGCTGCGATGGCCGAAACGCAAACCGGAAAGCGCGTGAAGTACCTTCAAAGCGACAATGGGGGTGAATACGAGTCCGACAAGCTGGCACGATTCTGCGCGGAACAGGGAATACAACAAAGGTTCACACCCCCATATACTCCTCAGCTAAACGGAGTAGCTGAGAGAATGAATCGCACGCTGGTCGAGTGTGCGCGTTGCATGGATGAGAACACGCTGGACTGGGAAAGAGCTACTGGGGTGAAGCAGTGATGACGGCGATGTTTCTTCGAAACCGCTGTCCAACACGTGCCATTCACCAAGACAAGTCTCCATATCAAGTGTGGACGATGAAGAAACCGATTCTGGCCAACCTTAAAGTGTTTGGATGCCACGCGTATGTTCAAGTGCCTCAAGACAAACGCGCGAAGTTCGACTCAAGTCATCACTCTGTCGTTTCCTGGGATACGCCGAACACCAGAAGTCATATCGATTTGAGGAAGTGTCAACAGGAGCGATCAAGATCAGTCGCGATGCCACATTCATGGAAGACAAGTTTGATGAAGGTCCGCGCAACTACAACGATGAGTCAAGTGTCGTTGAGTTTGATGATCATGATGAGGACGAAGAAAAAGAAGAAGGTAAAACTGACGACGACATGGACTCGAGCGACGATGACAACGAAGACACCAGGTCTTCGAAGAGCAACATCAAGAGACACACGCGCACTCAATCACTTGAGAAAGCTACCGTCATTCAAGTCCCAAGCGAAGAACATACAGAGGTCCGTCGCTTGAGCATGTGTCAGCGGCTGCAATGGATTTTGAAGCAGCCTACATCGTTGATTCAGTGGGGAAACGCCGACTACATTCAAGTCGGCGATGGAATCAAGCGACTCCGGCAAGTGGAAAGAAGCGTGTGACTCGGAGTTCGATTCGCTTCAGAGAAACGACACGTGGGAAATCGTGCCTCTTCCGAAAGGTCGCAAGGCCATCGGGTGCCGATGGGTTTTTCGTGTAAAGGAGAATCAAGATGGCGAAGTTGAACGTTTCAAGGCAAGACTTGTGGCCAAAGGATTCTCACAGAAATTCGGAGTTGACTATGAAGAAACTTTCGCACCGGTGGCCAAGTTCACATCGATTCGTGTGGTGCTCAGTATGGCGGCTAAGTACGGCCCTAATGCTACATCAGATGGACGTCAAGACAGCGTTTCTTAACGGCTCCCTCAACGAAGACATCTACATGGACCAGCCGGACGGATACCTGGATGCAACACAGCCGGACTATGTGTGCAAGCTAAAGAGATCACTCTACGGCTTGAAGCAATCGCCTCGCATGTGGAACCAAACAATCGATGGGTTCATGATCAAGATGGGATTCAAGAAGTGCGAATCGGACCACTGCATCTACATCAAGCAGAGACGACCAAGACATGATTCTCGTGGTGCTCTACGTCGATGATCTCATCCTGGCCAGCAGCAACAACGAACTCCTCAAGTCAACCAAGATGGCGCTGAGCAAACGCTTCGAAATGACGGATCTCGGTGAGCTCGATTACTTTCTCGGCATGGAGATCAAAGAACGACCGTAAGACGGGAATGGTGACTGTACAACAAACCAAGTTTCTCAAGTCCGTGTTAACCAAGTTCGGAATGGATAACAGCAAGCCAGTGAAGACGCCTCAAGATCCCGGCCTGAAGCTAACCAAGAACATGTGTGAACAAGAATGCAAGCACGAAGACACCATGTGCAACGTGCCATATCGAAGTGCTGTCGGAGGCATCATGTATCTCATGGTCGCCACACGTCCGGATCTAGCTGCTGCAGTGGGATCATTATCCCAGTTCTCGTCCGACCCATGCCCGACTCACTGGCAAGCTTTGAAGCGTGTGCTGAGATACCTGCAAGCAACGCCCAATCATGGTCTTGAGTTTACACGTGAAGAAGGAAGCCGTATCTGCGGGTACACCGACGCAGACTGGGCCGGCGACATTGAGTCAAGACGAAGTACAAGCGGCTATGTGTTCATGATGAGCGGAGGATGCATCAGCTGGAAAAGCCAGAAACAACGGACGGTCACGCTATCTTCAACAGAAGCAGAATACATGGCGCTTTCCGAAGCAACCAAAGAAGCAGTATGGCTCAAAGTGCTTTTGGGGGAACTTGGTGAGATGACAAGCGACGAAGCGATCAAGATGTATGAAGACAACCAAGGATCAATCGCTCTCGCCAAGAACCCGGAGTTCCATAAGAGAACAAAACACATCGACATACGCTACCATTTTGTGCGTGAGAAGGTGGAATCAGGTGAAGTCGTTTTGGAGTATTGCCCGACTCAAGATATGCTGGCAGACATGATGACCAAGCCGATCGCCGCTGTACAATTTGAAAACATTCGCGATCGACTTGGGATCCAAGGTGCCGCAGCTAACGAGTCGAGAGGAGTGTTGAAAAGACAGCGGCTGTGAAGAAGACACCTCGTCAAGCTGCGTCAAGTGTTGAAGCAAGTGGAAGACCAAGCTTCGCTATACCGGTGGGTACCGGTATGTACCAGTAAGGGGCGAAGTCAGGAAATGACGTCACTGGATGACGTCATTGCATGACGTCAGTGGGTACGTCAGTGGGTGACGTCACTGCGAATAATAGGCTTAGAGGTAGTATTCAAAGTTGCGAACTAAGTACCTATTATAAATATATATTCACTTTGCGTTTTGCACTCGGACCAAGAAGTCTAAAGTTCATCAGAAGCCGACTCAAACATATCGTAGCTGCGCTTGTCTCGGTTCTTTGGAAATGGTTTTGGACCATTTTCCCTTGTTGACATCCTCGACATGTAGTTGCTCCACCCGACTTGAGAGGGACTCGCACATCCTTGATCGTGTTGGTCGCGATCATCTTGCGAAATACTATCGACTGGAGCATGACCCATTCTCGCATGAAATCGGCTCCTGGTTCCACTTGTTGTCACATTCGCTGATCGTTGAGTCGTCGAAACCAGTAGGGTCCATCCACGAGATCCCTTAGGCTCCACCACTTGCTGTGAGTTCTTGAGAGTCACATACATCTTGGACCCGTCAAACCCGACTTGAAACTTGCCATGGCTGTTAATCTGTAGTACCGAGAGCAGGTTCTTGCTCATACTTGGAACATATAGCGCGTTCTTGATTTCGATCTCACGCTCTCTCACCGTTGGGCAGAACCACCTTTTCCATGATGGTTCCCACCCCTTGATGGCCAACTTGTGCCATCAGCCGCAAGTTCGCCCTCATTGCTGTTGACGGTCATCGGTTTTCTACCAGTGTTGGTAACCGTGACCGGTCCAATCGAACCGCCTGTTCAGCCTAGTATTTACGACGTAGTTCTTACGGTAATTACCATAGTTGATTAGACGCGTAAGGATGATGAGACGCTTCACATGATTTATATGTACACCACATATAAATCATGTAGTAAAAGTAAGTCCCGATAATCAATCACTTTCGAATCTTCCAACTATTGGGCAAGTGTTTTCTGCTCTACTCTCTTCGTCTCTCCGCTCCGTTCGCTCCGCTTTCTCGCTCCGATCTACAATGCAACAGGTTATGAGCCCAAGCGCCATGTCGTCCACCAGCAACGCCTCCATTGACAAGTTCAACGGAGAGAATTACGCAACGTGGAGCCGGTACATGCGCAGTGTGTTTTTGACGAAGTCCGTCTGGCACGTCGTCAGCCGTGAAGGTGACTCCGACTTTTTCTTCACCGACCCACCCGAGCGTCCGATGACTACGTCAAGGCAAGCAACGTCGCGTTTGGTATGATGCTGCTGCACCAGGAACGGGGACTACCATCATGCTGGACAACTGCTAGGAAGCCTGGGTTGCGTGGACAAGTCTGAAGACGCTGTACGGTGGGGTCGCAGAAGGCAGGACCCATCTACCTAAAGCGACAACTTTTCAGCATCAAGATGGCTAAGGCGCCTGAACGTCATGCATCACTGCAACGAGGTCCTCAACATCTCCGCCAAACTTAGCGGCATCGGTGCAGATGGAAAGACAAAGACGTTGCAATTGTCTCACTCAGTCTTCCGAAAAGACTACGAAAATGTGGTGCTCAACAGGGAAATGAGCAGCACAGACCTCACTCAGGATGTGTTGTGAGTCCTGACGGATAGCAATGCCAGCGTCAAGGAGAAAAAGGGACAACAGCAGCGACTACGGTGAAGGCTGAAGATGCAAGCAAGGCATTCAGCGCCGAGGAAAAGTACGAGCCCTACCAATACACGTATTGAAGCAAGGTGGGACACACGGTGGATCGTTGCTGGACAAACCAGAAGAACGAAGGTCGAGGAGCCCGCGCAGCAGCAATGGTCGTGGACCTCTGGGGCCTAACAGTGCTCCAGTTGGGACAGCATGATGAAGGCAATTGCTACCAATCGAGTGGCGGTTGAGTCACGTTCAAATGTGGGGTTTAGCGAGCAAGGACGTGTGTCCTGGAGATGAGGGCCGTCGACAAGTGGTGCTACCTAACCCATTTGTTACGACAAGACCAAGTTCTGGTTCTTGCTTCTTTGAGGCAAACTCTTGTTGCTTTAATCCACTTTACCAGGTGCTTCCACATCAAGGTGTTTAATTAACTGTGAAAAGGTGTTCCCCCTTTGGCGTGTATGCAGTCTTAATCATTTTTTTTTTTTTTTTTTTTTTTTTTTTTTTTTTCCCCCCCCCCCCCCCCTTTCTATCTTCATTTACTAGTTGTTTTTTTTTTTTTCCTATTTTTTGATTTAGCGATTTTGTTCCACACGTTATTTTATTTTAAGTTAGTCATTTTTCATTCTATTTTCTTTTGCCTAGTTTCCCTGGAGATAGTTTTTACCCTTTCCAATAGCCCTCAAGAAGTGAATTTTGTTTTGCCCAAGTGTTGTTTTCATTCGTTAAATTATTTTGTTTGTTTATTGTTTTTTTTGGTAAAAATTTTATTTTTTCAAGCTGTGTTTATTCTCTTGCATTACTATACCCCATTCTATTTCCCTTATTACCGTTTGTTTTCACCCCTTTCCACCTTACATCCTTTTCCTTCCATTTCCTCTTTTATTTCCCTTACTGCGTCTTCCAACCTTCACCGACACGCGAGCTTCCGACGAGTACGTCAAAGACGACAACATCGCGTTCGGGTTGATGTTGCTCACATAGACACGCCGACTACCACCATGTGGCCGACAACCAGCGAAGAAGCATGGACAGCGTGGTCGCGGTTGAAAAGATCTATGGTGGGTCGCAGAGGCGGGACGCATCTACTTCAAGCGCCAGCTGTTCAGCATCAAAGATGGCGGAAGGTGCCAACGTCTTGCACCATTGCAACGAAGTCTTGAACATCGGCGCCAAGCTCCAGCAGCATCGGTGCCAAGATGGAGAAGACGAAGACATTGCGATCTGCTTGCTGCTCAGTCTCCCGAAGAGTTTCGAGAACGTGGTTCTGAACTTTGGAAGTGAGCAATGCGAAACTGCGCACGCAAGATGTGGTCAAGGTGCTGACTAACGAGCACATCAAGCGACAAAGGCGAGAAGATGACAACGGCAACGACAACGGTGAAGACTGAAGATGCGACAAAGGCATTCAGTACCGAGCGCAAGAAGCCCTACCAATGCACATACTGCGGCAAGGTGGGGCACACGGCAGAGCGTTGCTGGACGAAGCAAAAAGGATGAAAGTCGAGGAGCCCAACACGCGGCGGCAATGGTCGCCACGCCCGGGGCAAACAATGTCCAGTGGCGACATTATGATGAAGGCAACAGCTACGATCGAGTGGCGTTTTGCAGTTTCGTTCGAATGCGGAGTTTCGACGAACAAGAATGGACCAGGAATGTGGGCCGTTGACAGCGAGGCAACACATCATCTGCCACGACAAGTTCAAGTTTTTAAGAAAAACTTTGGTCGAAGGCAATGATGGCGAGATCCTGGTGGCTGATGGCAACAAGGCGGCCATCAAAGGTGTGGGGACCATCGTGGAAAGGTGATTCTGCCAAACGGAAGAGCGCGAGATCGAGATCAAGAACGCGCTCATAATGTGCCCAGCATGAGCAAAATCTGCTCTCGGTGCCGCAGATTAACAAGCACGGCAACTTCAAGTGGTGTTTGA